GTAGGGCAGCAGTACCTCAGTGCTTGTCCTCTTATCCGAAGGTCCGTAGTTTGAGTCCCACTCTTGACATAAACATCATTGGGAGAGCAGTTAGATCCACTGACCCACAGGTTGGAGGTGCAATTCCAGCTCCTACAGATGTATACTGTTATGCTTTTTATGAGGTTATGATTAGCATAACATTTATACAAGAAGTGTAAATTTCACAATAAAAGCCAAAATACAACTATTTACTATAATAATTCTAAAAAAAAAATAAAAAAAAAGTTACTTCCTTAAATGTTATTTCACTAGTTGTGAGACAGCCAGATTTCTTGTAAAAAAATTTTGTTCAAGTTCAAAGGGTGGGGGCATATTTGAAAGAACAGGTAAAGTCAGGATATTAAAAAAGCAGATAAATTCCTGTACAGCTGGAGAAAAGCCAAACATCCACACCCACCCAACAGGATGAGGTCACATTAAAGATTCACTGTTTTCTAGGAAGTGGTAGTTCACATTTCATTAGAGGTTTCTGCTTAAATTTGCAACTGTGCTAACTGTAATCAACATGACAGATAGCCTTCTTCACACATGGTGGAAGCAACAATGAAATAAAAAGGTCTCTCATAGGAACACAGTTTGCCACTCTTGCTCTCACTCTCTTTCTCTCATTCTCTCTCTTACTCCCTGTACAGTAGGTAAACCACAGAGCTATGCCCGCTCCAGCCCAGTGCATGTGTATGTGTGTCTGTGCATGTGCGTGTGTGTGTTGTGCATGCTACAGTTCCACGCTGATGCCCCCAGGACAAGGTCTGTGGCTCCATTTCCTCCTGCTGCCCTTCCCTTTAACACACAGATGTAATCATATTCCAACAAGCCTTCCTTCCTGTAAAGCTCCCGCCCCCCCGCTGCCCCTCCACACCCACTGCTATAATTCAAAACATGCAAACGCACCGCTGTACACACCAGCACACAGCATCATTCACTATACTGAACAGAGGCCAGAAAACAGAGACAGGGCTCCTCTTATTCACCTGCATTTAGTCATTGAGGCCAGTCCATAATGTTTTTAATTAATTAATTAACAGTTCAATAAAATTCAACGTTCAAAGTGATTTGTGTGTAATATTATATGTTTTATACTATGCATTTTTTAGACTTTTTCTTTAAAGTTTCAATTCCAAACCACTTCCTTTTACTGACAGAGGATTGGCTCTAGACCTTTTGTTTTAAAAGGTCTAGAGCCAATCCAAGCTTATAATTGATAACTAGAAATGACTGAGTCTTGATTTGATCAAAATCTGATTAATTGCACAGGCCTGACTGTAGGTAACTGTTTGCTGTGAATACATCCTGACATGGTCCAAAGCCTCGTAATTTTTGCATTATATGGGCCCTTTTAATAGGAAAACTAACCACACTGAAGCCAGAGCAGCAGGCGGATAAAATCAGCAAGATACAACTACAGTGCATCCCTCCCTTTTATTTGAAACTATTTATTGAAAAGATGATCATTTAGTGGCAGTTACAGCATTCTCCAATATTCACATGAAAATATAGTAAAAAGAATGATATTTGGGTTATGGAATATTTCCTATCCTTTGGTTTGACAATGAACACAGTAATTTTAATTCACAAAGAAAGATGATATTGCTTTTAATGTTTTGTCTGTTTTGTTTGTGCTAGGACAGTAAATTACAAGGCATAGAGAGCCGAGCCTGCTGGAGTAACAGGAACACAGAGTAGTGTTTGGGGAATTTGATGAGTGTTTTGTGCCTGCAGTGAAAAACAGTGATAATCATGCCTTGGCAGTGTGATACTAAAAGGTCTCTTCAACAGGAGTCAAGCAGATCCAATAAAGATCTGGTGACAGTGAAATAACATCAGCAGGAAAGGTACAATACGACTTATCTCAATCCCAAATCTGTTAAAGTTTAAATTCACAGTAGGTTTTAGGATGGCAATGTATCAGGTAAATGAAGCGTGCAGAGTGGTCGGACCTGTTTGCCAGCAAGTAGAAACTGTGCTACTTCTGAACAAACATACCGATCTTTGTAGTAGTCATTCTGTAAACAGAAGACTGCTCTGTGACCACTCAATTATTTCACACCAGAATTATTATGTCTTCAGTCTAGAAGTGTCATCATCACAACAATTATAAGAAAAACAAATAATGCTGGAATAGCTAAATTCTTTTTGTCATTAGCTCAAGTTTAATTTCACTTCAAAATCAGACTGTCTCAGTACAATGATCACATTCAGGAATAGTAAGGCCTTACTTTTTGCTCAACATAGGAAAGTCTGAGGATGTTTACACCTGGAAGCTGCTCAATTTCAACAGTGTGTGACTGTGTCTGTATGAGAGCTGAGCCTGGATCAGCTGAGGTAAACACAGAGGACAGTATAGAGTCCAGGAGAGCAGGCACCAGGTGTAGCTATCAGCAGCACCACACCCTGAAGCCCGGCTGACAGCAGATCCCCCCCCCCCACACACTCACAGCTCCATATGTTAGGGGCAGGACCACTGGTTTGACCAGTGCCAATCAACTGTCCTCAATTAAATGACTCTGTGGACAGCAGACTTTTAGGATAGAGAAGTGGACAAAAAAAATGGAGAAGTGGACAGAATAAAGCACAGTGTTGTTTTACAAGCATTAAACCCATAATGCATTATTAAAGATTTTCAATACAGACTGTCCGTTCCGTTACTATAACTGAACAAAACACTGAAATGACAAAGGAGCTGCAAGGGCTATAATGTGCAGACATATGATGGGCATATTAAAAGGCTGAAATAAATGACTACAACATAAAGACCCCTTTCTAAAAGTATAAGCTCAGTTAAAAGAACAACAATCTACACAAATGTTCCTGCTCTTCACACATTTAGGTCAGTCTTCATCACTCCCCAGGATTATGCATGAACCATGTACACACACATTGGTTAAACATGCACAGGTGGCCACACACACAAAGGAAAAAGCAGGGTTAAACCTCTCAGCACAGGCTTGGGCCAAAGTGCACTTAATCCAATCACCTTCCAGTAAAGGCCTCACATGTGCTGGGTTGCCCCGGTAACCCAGTGCAGGACTCTAGTACACAGATCTGCAGCACTCACACATTCCGAGTGTGAACTTAAAGAAAACAAAAATGTCAGAGAGGTTAGAAATGGAGGCATAATATCAAAGTTATGCCAGGAAGAAGAATGCAAAGCTATTCTTTCTGGTAAAGCTTTGCACATGATCAGTTTTTAAAAAACTTGTATTTTTTTTTATAATTTTGATTTATTTCTTAGAAGCACTATAGTATAGAGGGTGAGCTGTGCCCAGGTCATAGTCAGTGTTGGAGAGTAACAGATTACATGTACTGGAGTTATGTAATCAGAGTACAAATTATGACTAACTGTATTCAGTTACAGTTACTGTTTCAGTGAGTGGTAATTGGATTACAGTTACTTTGTTAAAATAAATGGATTACATGGCAGTATTTTCCTGTTTTCACTTTTTGGGCTATACCCCATTTTCTTAGTTTTATTTCGATAATTCCATTCATTGTTGGAAACAGAATGCAGCAATAAACGTCTTGTTAACGCTGGTGACATCAGTCACCCAATGGACGAGGTCATTAATAATTGTCGTTGTTAAGAATCTGATTCTGCATCATTTTGAGTAAAAAACATCAAATATTACTGATTTTTACTGGGCTGGCGCCTTTCTGTTTGTACTGAAAGTGATTTATTACTATTATTTTTTAAATAAACAATATGACACAAACATTAGGGTGGACATAACTGAAGGCAACAGTGATTTCATATAAAAATAATTTCTCTATCAATAATATTTTTAATACGGTTAAGGACAGATTGGACTTTTTATTTTCTTTTGGCAGATAAAACAACTAATGTTCAGATTTCCTCATCTTTGCTTCTCTACCGCAAAAAAATTACCTGTTCATGGAGACTTGGGCTCAACAGACAATTTGAAGAGAACAAACAAGAATTTTCAGGATGTAGTTGCTACAATCATGTTGTTTTAAAAAAGCATGACAATATCAAGTAATCCAAAGTATTCAGATTACGTTACTCACTGAAAGTAATTTAATAGATTCCGTTACGAACTATATTTTGTCGTATGTAATCTATAATTTGTAGGGGAATACATTTTAAAAGTAACCTTCCCAACACTGGTCATAGTCTGTTACATAACTATAGTGCACAGCCTGTTGGCACGTAAATGAGGGCTCCATGATCTTGGAGACCATGGGGGAAGGGTCCAGCAATAGTAGAGTCTCTTTATCTATGGGCAGTCAGAGGGGCCCACCTCCACATAGAAATAAAAGGGAGTGAGAGATTTCCCAATTCACTGATACTAAATAAAAACAATAAAAGGGTTGTATAAAACAACATGAACAACATCATATGCAGCTGAAGTGACAATCGATAGTGTTCTTGAGATAATACATGTTCATATTCTTGCCATCATCTTGGCCCAGCCTGCTCTAGTAGCATGTATCCTACAGCACAATATGAGGCAGTACAGTGCTGTGTCCTCCTGGATGACTCATACATCGTCCACATGTGATGCAGTGCCATTACAGCCTGCTGCCACACAGCGGTCCATGTGCTGGAGACAGCCATGCCTCCACACACACGGTGATTGATGACTGATGAGGTACGGGACATTATCGCACATGCTCGCTCTGCTTTTCCATATGTTCGTACCTTTGGGAAAGGGCTAGAGCCTGCTGCAAATCGCTAGAGTTAGAACATCACTGTGGCTACTATACTGTACCTGTGCATCTCTATTATATAACCCAAACAAGCATCTGAGTTGCTTAAAATAAGTATTAAAGAAGTAATGCCGATCTTATGATGACCTTTTCACAAGTACTTTCTATACTTCCATTCACCACAACTTCCTGGCTTGTGACAGCTGCACCTGGACATGTACTCACCAACTAAAGGCACAACTTTATGGAACAGTATAAAGCAAACAAAGGCACTGTAATAGTTCTGTACTCACTCATGGTGTGATGCCGGTGGTGGGGCACCAGGATGGGCCCAGACAGGGCAGGGCTTCAGACAGGTGAGTTTATAATCCACTGGATCTCTCCTAAAGGCACTCATGACCTAAAAGACATTAAGCAACACATAAGAAGGACAATCCATCTATAAGTTAATGCTTTTATTCATCACAGAATCGACATTGTGGCATTAATAATAGAGGCTTCATGTGTATCAATGATCCCCCTATTCTAATTGCCGAGTAGGTCCATAAATAACAGTAATCTGGCCACAGTAATGAGGTGTAATTTGATCCATTTGCTGAAGTTGGAGGGAGATTTAAGAGGTGGTGATGAACTGAAGCCCCCCTCTTGTTGCTGGGAATGCCTCTGCTGCAGATGTTAAGAGATCCAATATCCTCCAGACTCCAGGAAAAGCAGCTCAGGTCAGCAGAAAGTTGCCACGCCACAGAATGACAAATCATCAACACTGCAGAGTGCAGCGTTCATTTGAACAGAAGGAGAGAAAGGCACCTCACTCACTGAACATTGTTTATCATCAGTTGTCTTTAGTTAATTCTAAATGAATGTTACATAACTCTCATACATAGATGCAAAAGGCTATGACAAAATAATAGGATTAATAATAATATACATGTGCTTTAAGCAGCGCTATGTTGTACTCATAGACTGTATGTAGTTGTAAAATCAGCAGACTAAAGAGATTAAATATTGCGATGGTGTATTTAAAATCCCAGACAGGTTTGGCTTCCATCAAATGCATTACATCTGCCCTGACATGAACACGCTTCATACTGAAAGCACAACATCATCCTCAATCTAATGCAACAAACCCAAATCTAAAGCAGCATTACTGTCAGCTTTATAAGAAACTGCATGTATTTGATATTGGAAAAAAAAAGGGCAAAGATGGGCCTTTTCTGAATAATTTTAGAATGGGCTTTTATCTAAATCTGAAGAAATATTATAATCACATAATAACAATGAAACTATTTTGTGTTGAAAATTTCATTCTATTGTGTGTTTTTTGTGGTATCAAAACCAGTATCAAGCTCTTTCCATTGTATCAGATTTAGAGGGGCAATCTGAAAGCTGGCATTAAACAGAGAGAGAGCAGTGAGCCAGAGGGGATCTGCAGCCAATAAAGAGCCACAGTAGCAGCAGCAGCAGCTCAGAGCAGAATACAGAGGGAATGCACAACCTGCCTGTGGAGAGCACATCTGGGCACCAGATACTGCTACTGCTACTGCTCTGCACTTATAACAGACATTACAGGCAACTGTAGGTAGATGGTTTATCGTTTGAACAATGGGGACTAAAAGAACTATAGTAAGTCTTTAACTAGAGACAGAAAACTGAACAAGAGTTCAAGAAAAATACACAAATCTGCTCAAAACAATTAGTAAAGAAAAAGCATTAGCATAGGTAAGGCTAAGGAATACTTTATTGCCCCTGTAGGAGGAATTTGTCTTTTGCATTTGACCCATTCTTTGTTGCCGCTGGGGCAACATGTCAGGAAGAGTGAACATAAGGGACTGCTGAATTGTGTGAAATTAACTGTTTGTTTTTTCTGTATCCATAGAAACTGTGAAAGAGGATAGCTAAAAAGCTAGGTAAGGAGCTAGCTATGGGCATTTGAGATGCTACAGGCTTTTTAGGCCATATGTAGCAGCAAATGTGGCAGAGGTACTTCCTCCAGAGGAAGTACTTTGAGGGAATGAACAATTTCATCTCCAACCAAAACACAAGAGCAAAGTAAGAACAAGGTCTTTCTTGTTGTGTTCACCTGGCTCCGCCTGGACACTGTTGTGATACCCAGGCTGCAGGACACAGAGGAGGGACACTTTTGGCTCTTCCTCTCCTCAAACTGCTCTAATACAAGATCTGTTGACCCTACCTGACCAGTCCTCCTGTTAAACTGCACTGAGACCTCTGACTGAGACACAAAGGTGACTTGAGAAGAGCAGTGTAAATGTTGCAGCTTGCTGCAGCAAAACTTGAATTTCCTTGGTATCAGTAAAGTCTCTCTCTCTATATATAATAATAATAATATATATTATTATTATTATTATTATTATTATTATTATTATTATTGATAACAAAGACAAAATACAAAAATATATTTGAGGGGACATTTAAAAGGGGAGACTAAAACATGAGAAGGACCTTAAACCCTGTTTCTAAGTTAGAGGCATTTAGTGAAACAAAAGCTTTAGTTTGAGAAGCCACTCAACACCTTGCACCCTGGCACATAAATAGACTATTCAAGAAAAGAAGATGTTCAAAATGTGATTTTATGATTATAGTGCCATTTAGATGCTTGTGGAGGTTCTCCGTCAGTGGGTCACAGGAGAGGAAGGACATAAGATGGCTCATTTGGGGCTTTTGACCCCAATGACAACAGGGCTTTTCTATTTCCTTTCTGTTAAAAAGCCAAAAGAGAAGCACAGCAAACTCAGTAATTTGAACATTGCAAAGTAGATCTGTTATCCACTTCTCTCTTTTTTTTAAACTGCAAATTGCATGCCATGTTGACAAGTGCACTGACTGAATCTTGAACCATTTTTTTCATGAACAAGTGCATTTGCATTTCGAAACATGTATCTTGCATTTACTCAGTTACAGGTGTGTTACTGATCAAAAAAATATATATATATATACAGGCATTCTTGCTGAGAGCAGGCTCACTTCTCCACAGATCTGACCAATAACTTGGCCTGGCAGAGTCTCCTGCTTGTCTCTATGGGAAATGAGTTTACTCTCATACTGTGGAACATTCAAAACAATAACATTTCCATGGACACAAGTAAGTAGCAGACCATCCACAAGAAAATGTATAGTACACCTTAAGGACCTACCAAGTATCCTGATCTTGCAGGTGCAGTAAAGTATTATTTCTATAGTGGAACATGTAAAATGTTTACTATCCTCACATTGCCAAGGCTATTACTATCTTTTATTGACACTGCTCATTAAACTAGGCCTATATTGTTTTACATGATGGGTGTACTTAGTTCTAGTATGTTTTCATCACTGACTGATCAGGAAAGCACAAAAGCTCCAAAGAGAGCTGATAAAGCAAATAGTTGAAGCCTGACATTTTACTCCATTCATTATATCCGGACCGAGAAACCGCTGCCAGAGCAGAGGGATCCGAAACCAACACGTGAGTTCACAGACTCTCCGTCCGTGGGGGGCTAAATGAGCGTCTGATTAAAAAAAAAAAAAACAAAACCTGTTTGAGCAGCCGTAATAACGTAACATATTTTTCGTGTTTTCAAACAGCAAAGCCCCTGACTACATTAAGCCGCATTATCCTGAAACGGGATAGGAAGGATTGCAAGGGAGTCTGTGGTCACCACCCCAAAAATCATTCCAGCAACATCCTTAAACCCGCTTCAAAGTAAGATGACAGCAGTTATTAAGTTAACTCCCCAGCAGACAATAGCCTAGCTTCATAGTTAACTTAAATACTAAATTAATTAAATTGGTTAGGACAGTCTACATGCATTTCGTGCTTAACAAGTAAAACAATGGTGGATTTAAATAGGTATATTATAAATGCCTTATTGCTCATGTGAAGAAATACTGAAACATCTTTACTGTACACAAACATAGCTGCCTTAAGATGATAAAATGAGTGGCATGGCATGTGCTCCAAGATCCAGGGACAGCAAAACATCAACCAATCATGAGTCCTTTACTTGGGCTTAAAGTGCTACATTCTGCTACTGGTGGGTGACTCACCGTGATACTTTGTTAGGAATCCCTGAGTTATTAAACACACTTATTTGGCTCAACAGATCCTTTCGTATTCGTATGGTAGAGATTACATTCACGACATATTAAAGTAGGCAAATCACATGTTTTATTTTGTAGAAACAAACCGGAAATTCGCATAATGTACGCGGTTGGCTATATTGTAGTGGGTATGGCTAGGTAGGCCTCGGTGAATACAAATAAGCACAAAGTTTACAGTATCCAAACCAAGCATACTTGTGTCGTAAGTGTAGAGCTGCTTGAATATATCTGTGCGTACATCCAGCTTACTCCATAAATATAAATGAAGAGGTTTTCATTTTACTTTGAAAGCGATCGTTAGGACCATCGTCATTGAGCCCCACAGAAACGCTGTTTGCACTGACAGATGAAATTTCATGAGCTCGGCAAGTTCCCTGCTCCTACATTAGCGAACAGCATCGGCTCAAAACACGGGAGAGATTACAGCAAATACTCACCTTGCTCTCCGCTCGACGGCTTCCTTTCGTTTACATAGCCACGGGTATTTCCCTGGCCACACAGGAGCAGAAAATGTCTATGGTCCCGTACCAGGAAGTCCAGGGCACTTGTGAAACTCTGGAAAGCCGTGAGAATCCCAGGCAGGTATCAATGCGCCGCCCGCCGGCCTCCTCTCATCTCACCGGCTGGTGCCGCTGCTCGTCCTCCACCCTGCGAACCCCAATGCCCCACACACTACTCAGTGCTGTAGTCACTGACCACCACTAACAGAGGCTACAGAAACAAAAAACAAAAAAATGACTGTGTGAGTGATAAAATAAAAGTGTCACTTATGTCCCATCTTGAGTATACATAATGGTCAACTTGAGCATAAAGATGGTTATTTTGGCATAATACAAGTGTAAGTTATTGTTATTTAGGCCCATATAATAGGGAATAGCAGAAGTCTGAAACTAACACAATTTTGCGGTTTACGCAAACAGCGTGTCTCTAGACCATGGATAATAAGATATTATACTTCCATGCTCTAGAAACAGTGAAATGCTACATAGACTACTTAAACCATGGAAGCACTTAGGTGAACGGTTCAATTGCTTTCCCTGGCTAGAGTTTTCATTGGGCAACTTTTTTCTTTCTTTTTAAAAATTAGGTTTATTTCTATTAACATTTTTAATAATATCCTATTACCATAGACTATAGGTGATGGTCACGTTTTAGCTTTGTTTTGGCTGACCTCTGCTGGTCAAATGTGTGCAGCGTATGAAAACCCCCTGTGAGTTACTATTAGCCTATGAAACGAAAATGGCAGAGAGCTGGCTACTCCTTTTAAAAGTGTTGTATGAAACCGGGTAACAACTATAACTTTAGATGGGGTATTCGTATAGGCATGAACTATACATCAATACAGGTTATGAGAGCACAAAATTAGACATTTAAATTATAAATTTACTGTGATAACAGACATGTGATTAAACGCCTAACTCGTTTGGGGAGCTCGCCAGATAGACAAAAGATGCTATGCAACCCACTCTCGCCCTGCAAATGGAAAAAATACAGGGACAATTTGTAAAACTGTTGCCAAGCCTATAGCCTAAAATTATAATTTATTGAAATAGCTTAAGGGGCATGCCTTTTTATTTATTTTATTCTAAAAAAAAAAAAAAAAATCACACTTACAGTAAAGTCTACAGAAATCCTATTTGAATTGTAGGCTATTCCTTTGAAAAGGTCCTGTGCGTGGTGAGCAGCAGTAGTCAGTGCCGATGTGAGTTTGATTTGTGGAAGAGCCCTAAGCGCACTGCATGAAGATGAAGATGGGTGACTTTTAATGACTATGTAGACTGTGCATCGCGGCTGCTGAAACAGTCCAGCACATAACTGCAGGGTGTAAGATGCTGCTAGGGAAAGTATACATGGAGTGACATAACCAAGTGGCGTGCATAGCGCACAAAAACATCTATGCAGAGTACGGGCTGGAGACCCCAACCTCCAAAGGCTATGGAGAATGACTTTCTGATACAGACTGACAGAATGGTAATATGTCGAACCAATCAGACGTAGTGGTGTAGTAGTGCTGAATAAGCAAGGCAAAGCCGTGGTGGTGGACATTGCAATACCAAGCGATCGTAACATCAAGGAAAAGGAACACAAGAAACTAGAGGGGACCTAGGGCTTCAATGAAGAGCTGGAAAAGGCCGAAAACAGCAAAGATCTACTCTTAAGCTAAGTTTAGGAGGACCTGAGCTATACATATATATATATATATATATATATATATATATATATATATATATATATATATATATATATATATATATATATATAGAAAGCAAACAAAGTTTTATTTATTTATTTTTTTCCAAATTGTTCAGTTGTATAAGTGAGTGGTCTCTCTTGCACCAATGTCACACTCACTCTAATTCAGTGATTGATTTACCCATTTGTGGCCTGCTGTGTTCCTTTATTGAACATGCCCATCATCTGTCAAGGACTTGCGCTTTGGTAAATAAAAGGTGAATATAAATGCATGGACGCATCTGTTGTAGCTTTCCAACTCTGTGGCTGAAACAATATTGTGGCTCCAAGCTAATCAAGTGTGGCAATATGTTTTATAGAGCGATGTGGGAGTGTGCCACGGACCTGCTGCTCTTACCTTGTTAGAGCCGAGCGTTACAGCCTATTTGTTATCCTAATGCGTCATGTGACCATGTTAAGAGGACAATGAGAGGGACATGAGTCTAGCTTCGCCCCACTGTGAGTGTTGATTTCATGGTCTATTAAGTTGCTGATTGTGCTACTGCTGTCTGCAACAAATTTAACATCAGTTCCACCCACAAGTGCTCAAGCAAGTGCAGAGTGGTGACTCTTAGCCAAACGTACAAAGAGGTGTAACGAGCTACAGCAGGAGAAAATGCAGTCGCCCTCTTCACCTGGAAGGTACTTCAGTGAAATAGTACATTTCTCACATAAATTATAATCACACAACTTGGATTAAACACCAGCCAACCAACTCTAAATCCTAGACTGAGATGTTTTTATTCAGTATTTTTACTATAGGCTACATAGAGTGAATGTTATATCTTCCACCTCTGTTTCTCTGTCTCTCTCTCTCTCTCCAGTGAACTTTGTGATTCACATGTGGCAGGACTGAACTTCTCATGCTGGTGGATGAGATGGAGAAGAGATGCTTGGATACAGAAGACACAGGAATAGAGAGAGAGAATATGAAAGGATGCTGAGGTTGCTTTGAGGCTGGTAGACTGGCATAAGTCCAAAAAGAGAACAGTGAAATCAGTGAAAGTTGGATTCTGTAGTAAAACTGTGTGCAGAGTGTTGGAAGTGGAGATCGGAACAGTTTGTAGGTCTACATTCTGTTTTACTCAAGTATTGTATAAAAATCTAAAGATAAACTCTACATTTTTTCTTCCTGTTCCACTCATGTGTCTTTGTAGGCATAGGGGGGCAGCATTGCACCACAATTATGGACTCATTTTCTCTTAGTAACAATTTTCACTACTTCACCTTCCACCAAACAATGTTGGAATTGCATAAGCATAATAGACTTGTGATTTTTTTTTTTCCAAAAAGAGAGAATGAGTCACTTCAGCTCTTCAAAGGAATGAGGAGGAATTGATGGAGGAATGTAAAAATACAAAAACAGACAGAAAAAAGCTCTTCCTGCAGCCTTTGATCAGCTATAATTTAATTACCGGCCCTGATTTGGGATTCCAGTCCCCACTCATCACAACACACTGAGAAATTTCCTTTCCACTCAGTGACAGGTTCCAAATATGTAAAATTAAACTACAGGTTTGTTCAGAACAATAGACTGTATTTATGTTTCCCATCTTCTTGCACTTGAGGTTATTTAGAAGAATGGGTGGTTTCGTTTGTCAGTGAATACTTTCACTAACAGCAGCTGCCCTGTATTAGAGATTGTCCATCTCAATTAAAAGGCCTGTTTAGTGTAAATTGATCCAATTTACATTTTTCATTTCAACCATTTAAATGATAATCTTTAATTCTCCCTCTAACCATAATGTTAACACACTGTGTGTGAAATCATAGATAATTTAGGCCAATATTCACAGCTTTAAAATGAAAATACAAATTGATAGAATTAAATTACAATAGCCTACTAACGACAACAGCATGAAGAAAGACTTAATTCATAATTATCAAATAGTTTATTAATAGTTTAGTAAGAATGATTTAAAATGATGAGGAAAAATCACATTAGCATATTCACACTTGAGAAAATTTAATTAAGAAAAAAAGACCTATGACTTTGTTAGTATAGCCTTATGGCTATGGTATATTGTAATATTTAGTATGGATATTAGAATATTTTAATATTTTATTGAATAAGGGGCCTTCTGAGATTGCGTTCATATCAAAAAACATTCTGTGTATTTTTTAGAGTGAGAGAGAGGGAGAGAGAGATTATGTGAGAACTTTTTCCTCAAATACATTTTTTTTTAACTATCTGTCTATTTTTGTGCGCTGTATATTGATTGCCATGTGTATCTGTGAATCACAGAGCTTTCTCAATGGTGTCTTAAGCTCCAATAAGCTTAGAGAAGTTCAGCATAAACACCAGCCTAATCGTCTCTCGCATTCTTTTATTACCAATCATTATTTCTGTTAAAACTCTGTTCTTAAAAGCTTCTTCACAAGCTTTAAATCCTTCTATCAAACTTCATAAGAAGCACTGAGCCAGTCTTGAAAAATGTCTGAATAAAAAAAATGAAGAAAAAATGGGTGAATTGAAGTGACTGTTACTTGCGCTGTGTTGACCTTCAAGCCTTCACTACTTTATTTAGTATATATAGCGTCTGGCAGTGTAGGTCTTACCTTGAATGAATCCCGATGGACGTCAGATATAGCCGGTGGTGAGTGCAAAGTTAAAACACACCAAACCTTTGCTTCCTGGCTGCTTTCACATCTTAAGATTACTTTATGAGTGAAAATAAAAAAGTCAACCAACAAAAATACAAAAAAAGAAGAAAAGGTCTTGTGGAAAATACAATTGTGAACTGCAGACGTTTTCTGGAACTGAGGGCCAGTAATAAAGGTGCAATATCATCTATCCATAGATCCACAGATCAGGGCCAGTGTATTGTATGCTCCACTTCAATCTCACAATCAATATTTAATAACAGGCCTGGTGGACCGCTGCCGTATTGAAAGAAGAGATGCCTAAATGTGTGCAAGATGCCCTTCACTCATGGATGATACTTAAAATAGTCCAGATTACACCAAGTGTAATTTATGATATTTGGCATCTTATTATATATAACAACATATAATAACATATAATTGATTTAATACTTTAATATTAAATGTTCAGTAAAGCTTGATTATGCCCATGGTCTGCATGAAATATCTGCAGTGAAACCATAATTCCATATTGGTGTCAAATTTTTACTTTTAAGGATTTTAAAAGCACAGAAAGGCCAATAAAACCAGTGTTCCAATACTAGCAGTTTTTCATTGAATTACAATAATTGGCAATATTTATCTACTTCAAAATAAGCATGGACAATGGCCGTTTAATTATACCGATACAGCAATTTTTGCATTACATTATTGTCTATTTCTTTAGTGCTAACCTTTTGGACTTGGGTTTTAAAATATTTGTTTTAAGGTGATACATAGTAACACTGTATAAATAACCTATCTTTGCCATTATAATGCATGGATTATACCCAACTGCAATACAACTGTTCAGATGTGAAAGCAGCCAGTGAAAATGAGGATGTTGAGAGACCTGCTGCTTAAGCATATCTACACTGTAATTCTATTTACCATCAGTGAATGAAACGTGAACTTTGACCTTTGACTTCTCTTTCCTCTTTCTCTACAGGAGATGCAGTTGTAATGGCATGACAGGAGTGGGCTCGACACAAAGGGGACACACAGTGGACGCACCTCGCCCAGAACAGTGGACAGTGGACTATACCATCACTAATGTACCAATCCCAATTTAGACTTTTGATTGAGATGTGACTCCAATATAAGTCAATAGAAAAGGAAATGATTCTTTACATATAATGAACATATAGAGGTACCACACACAACTCTGAGTTTGTGTTAATTTTGCTTTTGTCCAGTTGACAGAATTATTATTTATCGATTTGTTACTTTTGACCCTACCAGGATGACTTCGAGATTTTAGGCATATGCACATATATGTATTTTTGCCCATTTCAAAATCAAATTCCCTAAACAAAGTATATGTTTCAGTTTTACTTTTACTTTAAGAACCACTGTCACATCAGCTTGGGCTCCACAGTAATATACATACAAACATTCTTGATGCATATTTACTATGTGATAGTGATGATGATGAAAACAGTGTGTTTTCCCTACAAATGACTTTACAACCAAAATAAACAACATGGACATATACTGTACAGTGGGGAAATAATGCGAAAGAAAAGAAGAGGATGGAGGAGAGGTAGGAGGTCGTGGCACAGTACAACATCAGACTAGAACATAACAGCACACACAGAGAGACAGGTATTAGGAAAAATGGTTTAATATAGGAGACAGAAGCAAAAAACTGCATCACACAAGAACATACGTTTACAAAAATAATTCTGACTGCTTTAGCTACACAGTTAATTCACAGAGGACAGAGAAACTGGAAAATCTAACCAGCTAAAATCAAATTAGTAGATTTCTTTATTAAACTAATACATTAATCCACTGAAGGAGACTATTTCTAACCCTTCTTTTTCTAAGAATTGTCTTATCATGTAGACAGCACGATACAGAAAGTCCAAATGAAGCTTATAGTGCTCTGGTATAGACGAACTTGCTAGAACTAGAAAGAAAAATAGAGATTTGACACTCACTTACCCTCTGCTTTTTCAGAAAATAAATAATACAAAGAAAAGAATGAAAGAAAGAAAAAAAAACTAAAGAAAGAACAAAACACACAAGTGAGGAAAAAGACGTGAAAGAACTCAAGCCAAAGATCACCTAGAAAATCGTAAATATCAAAAGCCAACGTTCTGGAGGCCAGCTATAGAGAAATCAGAACTCTAAGTCAGGTCTGGCCGCATCATCAGAGAGGCCAAAAGAGCATTTTTTCTACATTTTTTTGTTGTATCCTTTAATCTCCAGTATAAAAAAATTCCACTGGTACAAAATGCATAAGTACAATCAGTTGTAGAAATAGGAAAGCCTGCATTTTTTGTACTGTAGTATACCATCCAGTGACAGATTTCCGAAGTTGTCAAACAAACATACATCATACGCTTACAGGATCCACTTAAATGCATTGACTTTGGCTTCTCTCAAGACAGTTACTATACTGAAAACCTCTTTATCAATAATAAAAATCAAACAACAAAGAAATTAGATCATTTCAATAGACAACAAGCTTATTTTACAACACAAAATGAAAAAACACATTTTTTCTTCAAAAAACTTTGACATAAGCTATAATGCAAAGAAACAACAAATATCTTTTTTTTTGTTCCTTTTCTTTGTTTGATAAATAGCACTTGAGATAATTAAGAAATTAGAAAAAAACAGAGAAGTGAACAGTGACTTAGTTAGAAAGATACAACAAGCATAAGCACCAAAAGCCCCTGAGGTGAGCCGCTCCATAGAACTTGCTACCGCCCTCTTGTGCTTTAACATTTAAATGCAAACACATGCTTTGACACACTCACTACGCCATGCAACAAGGTGAAAATTTGGCAATTTTGACAAAATATTTTGGGACTGGTTTTGACAGTATACAAAATAGTGCTTCATATTTTCCAAAACTAACAATGATCATGTATTACGGATTGTGCAAGAGTGACAAAATGTGCAATTGAGTCGATTTGCAGCGGATTTACAATGTTCAAAACCTGCATGTGCTGGTTAGCAAAATGGTCCCTTGACATTAATAGGACTATCCAGCTATTGTAATATGGCTGTGGCACTGCTCATGCTATATACTGCATTTAAGAAAAAAACAAAAACAAACAAAACAAAAAAAAAACAAAAAACAGCTGAAGTCTCTCCTCTTGATTCTTCTATCTGAAGTTTGAGTTTGGTCTTTGAGTAGTTAATGAAAACGCCTTCATCTCTCCTGTTGTTTTGCTTGCCTGTGACCCTTCCAACTCCCGACCAACAACGCTTTATTTCCCCTGTCGCTATTCCAATAAGACAACCCCCTCCACATATCCCTGCTTCTAATAACCCCGGTTAGCCTGAGAGACAGCTAGTGGGCATCCTTCACACCGGAGCTAAAATTTCAGCCATCACAAGCCTCCATACAACTCGGCCAATCTACTCACAAAATGGCGGACAAAATGAGAAGTAAACAGTATACAAAAGGTGACCCTGGACTTGGCACAAATCTGACAAAATAGTCTTCCAAAATACTGGTGCGACGCTCCCTGGTTTAAGGCGACTGGTGAGATTTTGTGTAGAAAATAATGCTGCCATCTTTTTTTTTGCAGACTACTAAACTATAGGCTCTCAGGGAGTAAGGGGAAAAACAATAAACTTTGACAACACTGTGCCATGTAAACGACTTGACCGTGAGAATGTCAGTAACAGTAACACGCTTTGGCATCTAAAACATTTTGGCCCACAAGACTTTATGATTATGAAAAACAAGTCCTGAATCTGTATATTAACTACAAACTCGCATCTCTGAAAAAAGATGTGCTTTTTTCCTCAAAAGAGAAAAGGCTAGTTTGTGAATGTCTTGCTCTGTGCTTACATCATAAAAAGCCAAGCGATGATACATGAAAATAATGATCTCTGAACTGCACAAAATGGTTAAGAAGATTTGAAGAAATAAGGCTTTGTGTATGACTATCACCTCCTCTTTGAAATGAAAAGTCGGAGACGGCGCTGCTAAGAAAACAATCAAAACAATATATTGAAGTGTGTATGACTGAGATACTGATAGAAATAGCTAGGAGTGCAAAGATTTGTGTGGTAAGGCTTTTGATAAAGAAAATATCAGACATTTGGTGTGGGAAGTGGTTTGGGGGCAGAGCGGTGGCTATGGAGAAGGCAAAACTCAGGGGCTTTCGTGCAACAAATAAGTAAAATGTGAGGTCTGCACAGAGAGAGTGTATGCATGTGTGTCCAACTGTGTATAGATATATATACTGTATATATGTGACACATGGGCACTTCTTTACATTTTTTACAAAGAAAAAAAGCAAACATGACATTTTCAGGCAACAAGACCACAGAATAGCAAGATAACAAACTCTTTTTAAATCTATACTTTAAATATGAGGGATCCATACAAAACACTTATAATAAAATACCAATGTTATCAAATCATTTTCACAAGAAATACACTGACGCGGCTAGGCAGGAAGTACCTTCAGAATTTTGGCACTAAACTCCACGGATCTTGTCTTTTTTATTTCTTTATAAGACATTTTGCTGAACAACAAAAACACATTTAATATTGTTTCCCACGAGAGAAATAAAAATCATAATGACATTGATGCTTCACAAGCTGACATTGTAGATATAGATATATATATATATAGATATATTTATATTTATATATATTTTTAAGAATTTTATAGAGCTAATTAACTGACAACAAATTTTAGCAAATAGGGACCCCTGAAAAAGAATAACAGAAAAACAAACTATTGTAATATGAAAGGCTTTGTCTATTCTTCAAGTAAACTGATTTTTTAGTCTTTGAAAAACATGAGACATTTAAGACCATCAGACTTGGGATGGAACCACAACTAAACTCACAAGAAGCACCAACATTAACATGGGTTACAGGTATCGTCATATTTGTTTTTTCCTCTATACATTTTAACAGTAGAAAATATAGGTCATTTTCTTCATGTGCATTTAAACCATGGATTGTCTATCTGTGAGTCAGTTCAGCAAAAGGTGACACAAGTAGGTAGCATATCTCCCCCACCAAACAGGGCAAATGTCTTTTTTGTCATTTTTTATTTAACCTTTGTAACTACTCTAGAAAAAGTGGTTCTTATATATAGACTTTGAATGAGAAACAGAGCCACTTGAAAATGGCCTTATCAAAAAACTTTACACTGCCTGAAAAATGTAAAAACCATTAGAGAGATAGAGCACTCTGAGAGAGTCTAGAATCGATCAGTTTTTTATTCAAAACTGTGGAAGTAGTCTTAATACTTAAAGAAAGTGGCGCAGACAGCTTCTGGCCCTGTGCACTGCGTTTCTCATCTGCAGCAGAATCAAGCCGCGCGCCAATTCCTGTAGTGAGTGTTCAAGTTTATTTTAAATGAAGTAGAGAAAATAGGCAAACACAAAATGCAAAAAATAAAGACATTGAAATGGAAAAACTTTGCCACAGGGTTTTCATAAAAAATTATCAGTCTTTCTTCATATGAATGCAGCTTTATAATAGATTTTTTTGTTCACATTGATTCTTGTTCACCCATCCCCCCAAATTCCTGAAGCCTCTCCCACAACACATGAGGTCACATCCAACAAAACATAAAAAAAAAATAAACGAAAGTAAAAATCCAAATAAAAGTAGGCATTGTACCATAATTTTAAAACTTAAAGATGGTTCCTCTCTTTGTCGATATGAGAGCTGAAGTGTCTTTAGGCTTTAGAACTACACTAATTACTATCCATGACCTGGATGAAAACCTCACAGACCAAAAAACAAAAACAAAACAAAAAACACCACAAGTCCATAGATGTTTAAAAGTTCAAAAAGTCAGTAGGCGGTGGCAGAGGAGTAGAACCAGGATATGGTCAGGTGAGCTCAGAAAAACAAAGATGGGGAGGACGATGACACTTTTTGGGTAGGGGGAGTTTTTTGTTTTAATTTTTTTTGTGTGTTTTTGTGTGTTTTTTATTGGACGCCACGAAGACATGCTAGGCAAACGATGAGCTAACAGGCATGGAGATGGGTGTTTCTAAAAGGGGGAAAGAAAAAACAGGGAAAAGGAGAGAGTTACACACAGAGAGCCAAAGCACCACACCACTACAGCATTTGATAAATTAAGAAAAACAACAACATTAACAACAACAAACAACAATGCAAACTGTCGAATATAGCAACACTACGGACTAATTTCATTGGCAATTTTTAAGCACAAATTTTGCATTTTTGCAGTAGATAGTGATACTAATCTAGGATTATATTATACTAACAAGCAACGACACATTCAGTCATTCACACAAACAAACAAACACAAACCATAGTGCACCCAAAGTCTGATCCATCGCATCCTAGATGGATAACACGTTTGGGAATAAATACTGATATATATTTTTTAGGAGTGGGGGGCCTTTCCTTAAAAATCTTTGGAAGGGTGAGGGCACGGACAAACAACACTCAAAACAAAAATGGGAAAAAAAATCAGATTAAAATGTGAAGGACAGGTGGACGAGCGAGGCTCTCTCGAGACAGGGAGAGAGAGAACACACAGAGATGGATGGACACGGACAATGATTGTGAAGAAGTGAGTGAGGCGTGCGCTTTTCTATGACAGCGGAGTGTTGTGTCGGACTGCACTGAAAAAACATGAAAACATTGGAGAACCCGACTCCACGAGGGTCTTCTTTATCAATGCTGTATTTTTTTTATAGGAGTTCAATAACTTAACAATAGGCAATAAATAAAATCCATTTTATCTGAGGCAGTAAAAATGCTGTATAAAAATAGAACTGCTTTTTTTACAAATAAAATTTACAGGCCTGTGGCTTTCTTTACTTGTATTTTTTTTTTTAACTTTCAACAAACATCAAGTATTTTCAGTTAACCCCTAAACCCATAATACTCTCATTAGGTTATTACCGTCGTATAGACTTCTTCAAATTATGGATCTTTTTTAAAATGTTGTGCATGCGTCCTTTCAACTAAGACCAATGTGATCTGACCCAGAAAATAGTTATAGTATTTTTTTTTTCATAATTTGACAAATAGAAAAGTATTTATTTTTCTTTTATCATAGAAATATGACATATTGTAGCTGGAGTGTTTTTTTCTTCTCGTGGTGGAGTGTAACTGGTGCCATTAACTAGACTGTGTAGAGGCCACTATGATTTGCAGCCTTTGCCCCCGGGTTGCCAGCAGGCAAAGAGGGATTTCAGAGAAGCAGCGGCGGCCTGCAACCAACACCGCGGAGGTCAAAGGTCAGGTGTGCATATTGGCATGAACATCAAAAAGTACTATATAGAGGAACCAGGCCTAGGCCTAAGGTTCACAGCAAGAGAGAAAAAACATAAAATAATCATCATGGCTCCTTTGTCTTCACTTCTATAGTTGGCAAAATAAATACTTTCTAAAAAGGAAAAACATTAAATAATTATTAAATTAAAAATCAGCTACCCATGATAGCTACTTCTGCAGTAAAAGTGAGAAAAATTGCACAAAGTAATGACGATAATGGAAGCGTTCATGTGTGTCAAAAATAAAGTGTAATAAATAATATCTGAAAGAAAACAATAAAAAATCTTCCAAAAATCAAGTATATCAAAAGGAGGAGTGTGTGAGTCTCCCTCCTTCAGGTGGTTGTAGGTCGTCTCCCCTCCCTCCCACAGCCCACCCCCCAGTCCCTGTGCAGAGGTCGTGGCTCGGTTTGCTGTTTTTGTTCTTTTTGTTTTTAGGGGGGACTTACCCTAGCAGTGCTAACAGGGGAGCAGATACACCCTAGTTCTAAGATCAGTACGGTTTGCTGTCATTCTTGGAGCGCTTTAGCTGCACTTTCAGCCTCTTCATGCCGATCTGGAAGCCGTTCATGGCCTGAATGGCTGCCTGTGCCGACACAGGATTGTCGTAGCTGACGAAGCCTAAAAATAAGGCACAATATACATTTTTAGAAACTAGTTTAAGTGTGAGGGAAAGTGTGAGGGAAATAAAACAGAGGCATATGGGTTGCTCTAGTGTAATATCTCTACAAGAGATTGAATAATTATATTATTCTCTATTTACATACATATACTTAATGATGTAAATAGTAAAAGCTCCTCCAAAATATAAGTGTGTGTCATCAAATTACCTAAAAGTAATGACGCATGTAGATTTATATTAAAAATATGTCTTTATGTGTTGCTGTTGATCCATTATAATAATAAAAAAAAGTTTCCCAAGAAATTTAAAATTAGCCTCACAAGAACCCCCAGGATTAGTTTGCCAAGCATTATTTGTACATCATAATAATTACTTCCACAGCAAGGTAAAAGCTATTGTGGAAGCAAGATAAATATAGCAATTTTCTGGTAATTTCGAGTGGCTATTGCCTTGCTTTTATAGTTCATTAAATCTGGCTCCTGCAGGATGATGAATAAAATATGTATTTGTGTAGTGAGTGCTCAGGTAGAAAGATGGTGGTTTGACCTCAGCTATGGGCAGTTCATACTGGCATTTACCTGTGTGACAGTAGTTATGTAAGTAAGTGAATGGTCACTATTCATAAGTAATATAATGTATTATGTGGCTTTGTAATGGGTAGTGGTAGTATGTGTAATTATGCATTGCATCTTACCAAAGCACTTGCTAAGGTTTGTCTGTTTGTCAATAAAGACTTTGGCAGACACCACATTTCCAAAAGGCATAAACATCTGCAGAATGTCCTGGTCCCCGAACTCCTGCGGCAGGTGGTAGATAAACAGGTTAGCGCCTTCAGGACCTGCAAGGACATGAAGATATAAAAATAGGTGTTATATGTCATAGTGGATTGCATTTGAAAATATAAGGAGCCGAGTAGCATTGTGCTTATGACCCACTGCTGTGCTGTTGTCATAGAAACGCGACAAAAGCACGACAATGTTGCCCGACCTTGAGTTTTGTATTGCTTTTTAAATAACATTTTGTGATTGTATTGAGTATTAAACAAAATTGTGAGCTTTGAGTGATGATGGTGTGTCCATCTACTGTTCTTTTGCTGTTCATTCATTGATACAAGGCACATGTGATGTTTCTCTTAAGAGGGGTCAGGGGTGAGCTCCTGACCTTCTGTCTCAAATTTGAATATTTTGATAAGGTTACCTCTCTTAAAGCCTATTATTCCCCTTTTAATAACTGAGGCAACATGGGACTGGTGAAGGGGTTTGGTCACCATGGCTGCTCGTGGTTGATGATATGAAAGCTTGAAATAAAAAGGACAGCATCTTTGCAGTTATCTCCCATGTTTTCTGTGACAGAGGCAATAATGGGAAGTGTGTGGCTGTGTTTGTTTTAGCACACAATTTCATCACTAGTTTGTATGCTGGACTGTCAGTAGAGGCTTCTCACACAATTCCACTTAAAACATTACATTCTGGTTCAGGAGACAGCGTGGTGCCAATAATTTTCCTTTTAAAAGGTAGTCAACAGGGCTAACTATGATACCAGTTTTTAACCACTTCAAATGTTTTATAAATAATAATTAATTTGGATAAGTATAACTTTTGAGTGTATTGTGAGAGTTATTAGTAGAAGTATCAATTTGTGTTAGCAATGAGTGTCCAAGGCTAAATAGCACACAGTGCATCTTTATGTTTATATGATTTTCTGTTTATATTTATGTTTATATGATTTTCAAGTAGATTTCCTCACACTGGGGAGACAGGAGCTTGCTTGGTAGAGTTTATCCTCTGATCTACAGGTTGCAAGTAGCCTAGTGTGTAAATGTGAGTGTCAATAGGTGAGTGGTTGAAAATCTTTGAGTGCCTTGAAGGTAGAAAAGTGGTGTACAAAAATGTGTCCATTTATCATGATCATCAGTAAATCATATTAAAAGTGCATAAATAAAGGGTTAATTTTTTTTTTGGGAAAAAGGATTAAAAATCCCCAAGATCAGTGAAAACCTAAAGCCAGACTTTGTTCAAATAAACAGGTAAAGTACTGAATGCTGTTAATCAGAGGTGAGGGAAGATTTCTTGGCTACACAGGCATATTTGAGAAGTTTCCTGCGTTTGAATGACGTGCTGCAGTTAATGGCTATGATTGATCCTTCACAAAATGGAGTGAGCCGAACAATTTGCTGTAAGGAGGACATCATACTATCATACTGTTCCTGCTTTGAAAAAGAAAAGTAGCAGTCTGACTCATTAGACATCAATCCATGTTTGATGTAATTCTTGGTGCAATTTTGTATTGTTTATTATTAGATCCTCTGTCTAAAATACAAAATACAATTATGATGGGCGCAATACTCAAACATTATAAGTCTCCCTATAATGTCATTGACTTTTCATTGGTAAAATCTTTAAGAATATGGTTATACCATTTAATTAAGGATTTAGCAAGAGGGCCTTCATGGTGAGAGGCAATGCTGTAATTATAATCCTATTGTATTTTTAGCCTCCAGTCTATAGGCCAAATCAGTTTTAATTTCTTGGTCCTCTTAACCCAGCTACATGTCCTAGAGCCACTTACCCTCCTTCTGACTGCCAGCGGCCCCTTGTTGCTGCAGCAGTGATTGGCTGTAGAGGGTGGGCAGTGCAGCAGCGGCGTACTGCTGTATCCCTGAGTAGGCCTGTGTCAGCGCATCCATGGTGCCCGCTGTGCCATTGGTGAGCCCTGCACCACCCAGACCTCCATTTAGAGCCGCCATACCTGAGAGCATTTGAGCAACTTTACATAAAACCCAACAATAAAGAAAGAAGAGTGCACTTACTGATTAGCGCTCAAGGTTTTCTTATTATAACCACATATACATGATACGAGACAGACAAAAGTTGACAAGTTCATAAAGATATTTACAGATATATGCACACACTACACAGATTGAGACAGGACTGCGACAATACACATGACGCACACAACAGCTACATTACATCCAATGAAATAGTGTGAGTGCAGTTGATGACAGCCAGAGCTGCACATAAAAAAGTCACTGAGAAACAACATGACAACATTGCAAAACAGAAACATATAAATAACAACAACAACATGGAGATGAAGTTTAAATTATTATTGGGTATGCTCAAAATTAATTAAGCTGGGCTAACAATTCTGTTTTGTAGTCAATGTATATTAGATGCTGTTCACTAGTAGTAAGTATTGTTAGAAGCTTAATTAAACAGTTACAGAAACCACTGTAACAAATACTGGTGGAAAGTGTACTGAAAATTTGTACATGGATAAAAATGTACTCAATTACAAGCACAAGTAAAAGTAAAAAGAACAGCTGAAAATACTCCTCAGAGTACAAGAGTCAGTTACTTTTTGATTTTTAGCAGCAGTTTAGATCGGTATTTTATATAAATTTAACAGTTTAAACCTGAAGTTTAGAAGCCTCAACATTAGAAGAAGGCAATGCAGAGCAATGTGTGTTTGTTGGTATAGAAAAGACAGAGCAGTGGGACTTGTCAACTCAATTACAGTAATGTACCACCTCTGTAAATACTTCAGTCTATCATTGAGGTAAAAAGACCCAAAGCAATTTTTTGAAGAAAATGCTAAATTCTGGATAGTTTGGCCTGAAAAATATCACACGAGCTGGACTCTTGTCAAATGTCAGACCAAGGGTTTTTACATAGGTAAAAACAAGGAATATTTTTCATCTCATTTCATCTGCAACTGACTTGATTCTGCTGTAGGATGCTGTAGGTGTACCAAACCACTTTAGAATATTTAAACTAGCATGTCATTATGTGTACTTTTCCAGCCAGTGACATTTTATTTTAGTGTTTGAACGGCAGCATGTCTTCATGTTGGTGGGAGGTGGGTTTTTTAAAAGCCAGGGAACACAGGAGGAACACTCATTAGCCGCTTGTAACTGCTTCATTTGGCCACGCAGGGCAACTTGTCGCAGACTGGCTCAGCCTCTCTGTCTCCTCAGCATCAGACACACTAAAATAAATGATCACCTCAGCGCTCTGGATTATAGGTCACTCACTTATTCAGGAATAATTGCACTGGTGACCTTTGCAATTCAATTAAAGCCTAGATGTGTTTAAATGAGGTGGCTTGATGGGAGAGGAGCAAGCAGAGGAGAAAAGGGTTATCCACGAACAAAATGGGATGTAAAGCGAAAGTGATCCATCCCCTTTAAAAGAAATGGGGGTGCCTACATGTGTGTGTGGTGTACCTGTGTAGATCTATGATTTACACAGCGGATACAGCCACTGGTGCCATGGAGCGCTAAAGGTCAGAGGAGAATAATGTGGTGGAAGGGGCCTCTAGCTCAGGATCTGGGCTGTCATAACAGGCTTGATTAAGATCCCAGTCCTGTCTCCCCAGAGGTCAAAGGCAGGACACAACATACAGTCATAATAGCAGACCACACAGGCACGAGGCTCTACATTGTTCAATACACAGTGTGTATAGGAACACGTAGCGGCTCCCTGGGTCATTGTGAAAACATGGAGTCGTTTATATACTCCATTGATTCTGCAAAAACTGCCCCAAGCTGTGACTTTCTGTTGCTTTTAAAAGGGGGGAAAAGTAGATGCATTTTATAGGCAAAAGACATGAGTTAATTCAGCTACAATCTATTACCAGATGGTGCCTGATGGCAGAGTAGTTATCCCTGCAATTTGATTCTACTTTAGTGTCTTGTGTTCCTTTAACCTTTCTGTTTCTTTCACCCTTCTAAGACATAAATCTACCTAACTGAAACAGCTGCTTTTCAGTGTCTGGTACCAGTCATTGTCCAGATAAGGGTGTTCAAAATGGCTGGTATAGGCTCCTCTGTGACCATGTGGAAGGAAAAATATTATACAATCATATATTTCTCATGTTTCTAATTATGAATATACTTTGGGTTACTTTGGGTCAATGAGTTAGTGCAAAAAGTATAATGGATAATCACATACAAATAATGACAAACATACAAACAGCTAAGACAGTAAACGAGTATGGTACAAACAGATGAATTCAGCACAAAGCCAGGAAGCTAGTGAAAGAGGCAATGGAGATGGATGAGAGGACATGGCCTGATGAACCAGTGACAGAAGTGTCAGAGAGACAGAGAGTACCAATCAGAGGCGTGCAAACTGAGAGATTTAAAAACATTGCATTCTGTTCAATGCTTTATCTTTTAAATAGAGTTAGGGGTGTTTTTTTTTTTCAAAGTTAAGTGTATTTTGTGTCTATGTTGTTCTGTTACATGTCAACCTAAATTGCTGAACATTTGTTTAAGATGTTTACACTATAAATACCCCCAATTAAAAAGCAGCATTCACAGAACCATACAGTACTTTATCTTTATGCTGCTAGTCTCAGGGTGTCAGTTCACACTTGGCTCTGACATGAATGTTTAAGGTGACTTGTGGTGGGTGTAGATGGGATGAAGATGGTGAATACTCACTATTGACACTACCTGCTAGTGCATTAATGTTGTTGAGGCCCACTGTGGCACCTGCCAGGCCCTGCAGGGTGCCCAGAGAGGTCAGAGAGTTCATGGCGCCGGCGTTGGAGCTGGCTGTGGTACCTGCTGCTGGAGGGCCAGGATGAGAGGAGGACAGGACAGGAGACAGATAGCAAAGTGTTATACTGTATTTAAGCTCAAAGGAAAATACAAATGCAGATGTTAAGTACATATCTATGTTCAGTTATAGTATTCTTATATCACTCACCACAGCAACTATTATGTATTGGATACTCTGCATAATGCATGCATGTCATGTATGCATTAAGCATACATAATGCATATGCACTCTTTATATATATATATATATATATATATATATATATATATATATATATATATATATATATATATATATATATATATATATATATATATATATATATATATATATATATATATATATATATATACACATTAGCTTCACTGTTTAGGCATCCGTAGGGTGAAGGTATACAGATTACAACCTTGAAAAGGAAAAAAACTGCTTTTTCAAATTATTTTCAAATCCAGGATGGCAGGAGGAGCAAACCTGAATGACGTGTTTCTTTACAGTATATGCAGCCTTGGCTTTTATCACAGCAGAGTCCTTGCACATTCCTACAATAGATTTGACTAACATGGTATTTTACTGAGAAGATTTCTAAGAATCTAGCAAAACAGCCTATTTAAGGATTTACATAGAGCTGCACTGACGATCTAATGAACACACTGAACATAAATATCCAAAGTAGCATCAGTAGCACATTCCAGACAGGACTGTTCTTATACCACCAACAATAATTAACAAGTTGGATTGCTCCACTGAAGGCGAGCATGTAATCACATGAAACAGTACAAGCCAAAGATATGCAGACTAGGTCCAAAGATTGTTCTGTTTTACCTGTCACAGCTGCAACACAACTCACAGCCAAAATACAAACACACTGTGTACAGCAACACAGAGGAATGATGAAGAGTATGGTGCAAAGAAGTCACCAAAACAGAACACTACATCTATTAATTTACCCTTTATCTCATCAAAGCGTTGCCAGCAAAGCAGGAATGCTGCCAGATGTATGAAGAAACGGTGTGAAAATATAGCATTTTGACAAATGGTAGAAAAAAGGAAAAGAAGATGAAGATAGCTGCCTGTCTTCATGCAAACGTGACTGTTTATATCAAACTGCTGCAGTGTTTGCTGTTTCACTGACACATGCAATATGGTGCCATTCATTTACAGAAAGTAGTTCAACCCAAATTTCTACTCAAAGACATTCAGCCAGATCAAAATTATGGAACTCAAGTAATGTGTGGAGAAAGAAGAATGAACCAGGGAAAAAAAGACAAATAAATATGCTAAATAAGACAAAACAAGGAAAGGTAGATCTGTGGCTAAGGCTAACCAAAGTGAGACAAAATTCAGGTAAGTGGGTATGGAAATAGCTGAGGAATGTTAAGGCTTCTGATATTTGCACTGATATTTGAAACAACACACAAAGTAAAAGAAGAAGAAACCAGTAAAGGATGAGAAAAAATATTTGTGAAATAATTAAATTTTTTATATTTGAAAGGTTTACATCTATCCCCAAGGACAACACAATCACATCCTATTTATCAAGTAAGCATTGCCACCCTATTGTCCATGGTGGAGATCCCAAGGCATAGTATAGTAAATGTTAATTGTGCATTATTTGGAGGATTACTTGATACACCTCACAATATCATGAAAGTAATGTTAGGTTGTGCTGTAATATAAATGAGGTCATATCACATTATAACCTACAACCATCAGTTGCTGAGCAGTTGTTGTTATGTAATAGTACAGTAAGGTATAGATTATCTTTGAAAGCGGTATAATTTGTATTATTTTTCCAGTTGAAATATTTCTATGTGGGGCTGAGATGCTATATTATGCCTTAGAAAAAGTTGTTCATATAGAGGAAGTAGCTGTGGCGGTGTAAACAATATTGACTGTAAAGAATACAGCACTGGGCCATACAGAGAGCACTTCACAATCACATGCAGATTCGGGCGCACACACAGACACACACATGTAAGCACACCACATGGCCGGCTCACGGATAAGGAAGTGACGGACGACGCCATGACAACTGCACACAATCAGATGAGGTCCACGGAGTGATAAAGTGGAGAGTTACACAAACCGTGCCACTTCTCTATTAAGATTTCAACAATGGATGTGACTATGAACATGGTTTGTGGTGACAGCAACGAAGATGTGCGAGATCTGTTAACACAGGGATGAAAATGTAGAGGAGCGGAGGTGAGGCAGGCCTCGCCCTGGCATCAAGCCCCGCCCCAAGAAGCTGCGGCTGCGTTACCTGGGCTGGCCAACGCTCCCAGGGACGCCGCACTGGAGGACAGGGGGTTTGCGGTGGAAGGGCTGGCTGAGTTTTGAGCTGCTGCTGCTGCCGCCGCTAAAGTGGCCAGATTCTGCAACTGCAGCGCACTCATACCTGGAGAAAGGAGCCAGAGAGGTGTGTCAATCCTGCAGAGCCAGGCTGAGGACTGTGGACTGGCCAAACGAGACGACAGGAGACAACTGAACTGTTTGCAAACCAAACCAGTGTGTGCCGCTGTGAATGACTGTGAACCTTCCTATTTCAAACAGCTACAGTAATAACTAAAGCGTGTGCAGCCAAATGGTACACGGGCTGCTTTCACTAATAAGTCCCAACGCACCTAACCCAGTCAAAACAGATGTTTAAGAGTACGAATGAGGGGTTTCTGTCTTTCATCACTATATGTTATGTTATATACAAATCAAAACACATCTGACCTCTACGTGTCAATATCAAAGTTAGTCCATTTATAGTAGTTCCTCAAAGACATCTAAATAAATAAAATCCGCCCTCAGTAACATTATATGATTATACTCCAAATTAATAAATTACCAAATATGTTTAAATTATGATTATGTCTTATACTAAAGTCCTAACAGCAGGTCAACAGCAGTGGGTCAAATACCTCGGAGCAGCTTATTCTGTTCAGGGACTTGTTAGAGAACATGGGCCGCACCTATGGGGTGTATGCTCGTATATACAGTTTGGATGTATATACAGTGCCATGGAAACATACATACACAGTCACACACACAAAGACAAAATCAACAATATTTCTCAAATAAATTAATCGCTAAATTAAAAAATTAAAAAAAGACAACAACTAGACAACAACTGTATCCATCTCTGCACAGGACCAAATGCACCTACCTATTGTACAATCCTTCAAATAAAGTAGTACACTCACTACTTAACTATCCAAAATATCTATTCATTGACAAGCTCTTCCACAAAAAGAAAAAAAAAAAGAAATCTCACTTTGAGCTTAACGATTGCCTTAAATTGTGAAGATAGTGCATCTGTGATGGTTTTAAAAAAGTGTCCATTGAACGCTGTGTGTGAGTTGTCTTTACTCATCTGTGAAGTGCACTGAAGCCAAAACCAATCTGTTTTTCAAAGTGATTTTCTCCCAATTTTATGTGTTATATCTGAAGTCAAGATACATTTTATTTTTCCACACGCGTAACAGCTGGGCCTGTCATTCTTACTGTCACAATAAACTAATTTGGGGGAAGCTTAAAAAAGCTGGCTCACTCAGTGTTTCAGGGAGATGAGAAAGCTTCTTCATGGTTCTTTTTAATACTTTGTTGAAGCAGTTCTCCACTGAAGATGAGTTTGGAGAGAAACCAGAAACTGGTTAAGGACAGGTAGGACCACTAAGTACCAGTGAGAATAATGCAATGTATTGAGGCATATAAATTTGAAGTCCTGCCTTCATTCAGTCAATTCATATCTTAAATTAGTCATGCATTTTGTGTGTTTTTACATCAGATTTTTTTCCTTTTTTCAAACACGATGTGAAAAATGTTTTAACAGAAAGTCAGTCACCTGCTTGAAGAAAAAACTGCAATCTGACATATCAAGACTATTGTATGCAGACCAGTGGCGGACCGTGCTTTTCACAGCTAGGCCTTAATGCTCCATCTGAAACAATCCACTCCTCAATAACTATTTTATGGTTATAAAATCGATCTTATTACACAGAAACAGTATAAAGAGCCGTGGAGATTCCGTGCACAGAGAAGTGAGGAGAGGGGGGTGCGCAGTGCACAGAGAAGAAGTGAGGAGCGCTGGGGTGCAAAACCAGAACTAAACCAGAACTAAACCAGGACTGTTTGTCGGGACGGGCACGAAAGTGCGCTCGCTTAGACTGTCAGGTGGTCAGGTGGTCAGGTCATGGGGCCGCACGGGGCCGCACGGGGCCGCACGGGATGGCTCCGAGCTGCACGGGGCTGCACAGGGCTCCCCGCCGCACCCTGGGGCTCAGTGCAGCTTTCACCCGATCGCGTTTTGCGGATGCCCTGGTCCACGGGCTCGGGCTTCTCTCTCTTTGCTCTCTCTCAAGTCCAAGATTAGTCCTGGTTTAGTCCTGATTTAGACCTGGTTTAGACCTGGTGTAGTCATGGTTTAGACCTGGTTTTGTCCAGGTTCCGCTACTGATGCAGTTTGCTGCTTTGACTGGGCTGCTCTCTGACTGTCCAATCAATGGGTCTGAATATCGAGACGTTGCTGTACGCCTGCTAGAAGGCCCCGGTGACACCAACTCAAAATCTGACTGGTTGAAGCAACAGTTTCATAGACATTTATTTTGTGTTTGAGGGCCTGCAGAACGGATCGTGAAGGCCTCAGGCACACTTCTTTGATTTTGACCCTGCCTGGCAACAAATGATGACTGAAATGTGATTGGTCAAGATACTTTAATATGAAAACACATGTCTGGAAGCAACACAACCATCGGAAAAGCTCTGAAAGGAAGCGGACAGACCACTTGGAACTATTTAATAATATAATTAACATCAGTCTGTGATTCAGATATTTTTATAGGCCAGCAGAGAAGGCCTTGCAGGCCCTGACGGCCCATCACTGATGTGGACCCAAATCACTGTTTAGATCAATTCTGTATCATACTAATGACCAAGTAAATATGCTACTTTCAGTAACTCAAAGTACATACCAATAGTATTACATTAATAAAATTATTCTGGGATTGACGTTTACCCATGAGGTCTGTAAGTATAGTTTTGGGCACTTCACCACTGTGCCACGAGAGCTTAAAAGTGCTACTGGCACTGCAGCAATAATAATTTGCCATGGAACCAATGTTTTTACTTAAAATAATGCATATGAAATTTTCTGATGTGAAAAGTGCAATAAACAAAAGAATAATAAAATAATTTTAAATGTAGGCTATATGTATTAATTTATGTCTAAATCTTGTGTCATCTTATGAACCCAGTATTGTGTCCTTTATTGTCCCACCCCTACTGATTATTGATTATTTGCATGCATTTGGGTTCTGACCCCATGCCTATTTTAAAAATATTACTATTAAATTATAAATACAACATTTATGAAGCACAGTATGATTGTTGCTATGTAAACCATAAGTATTGATTTATGTGCATTAATAGGTCTTAGAAGTCTGTACTTATCCTCTGCACATATTTAGACCAGTGATTCTTAATTCTCCTTCATTATTATTAAATTTAACATGTCTCCCAGAATGACCATTAAAAGACTATCAATCTTCTGTTCATCTGTCCCACTTCCTCTGTTCTCTGAAGACGTGTCTAGCAGCTTTCTTTCTTTCTTTCTTTCTTTTTCCTTAAAGCACTCTGGTCCAATCATTCATTTCATTGTCAAAGACTATCTGTCTTAGGACAATTTCTGAGACGGTTCGAAAGACGAACAGAAGATAAAAATAACTGGACTGAAGAGAAGAAGGGCGCCTGTTTGAGACAATGGGAACATCAGATGGTCCGGGAGTGCATGAGTGTACATATGTGTTGGAATAGATGTGTGTGTGTGACTGTGGACAGTATGGCAGATCTGGGTTGGCTGCATCTAATTGAATGCTCATTGGTGTAATTGAAGGCTCTCAGCGCTACAGCTCGTGGTGTTAAAGACTGGGACCAGATGTCATTCAGCTGTCTCCCATCTTCTGCCAATCACTAATGCACGCTCATACTAGCTTCCCATCTCCCTCTTTCCCTCTCTCTCCATTCACAGATGGAGGACCAACAGATCTCCAGCTTCAGACAGTGCTACTCGCCCCCGCGTCCAAATCACAGCTCATTTATTCACGCCACTGCAAAGGGAGAAATGTGTACTTTGGAGCTAAGACTGGGCACAAAAGGAGAGAGAGAGAGAGGAAGAGAGAGAGAGAGAGAGAGAGAGAGAGAGAGAGAGAGAGAGAGAGAGAGAGAGAGAGAGAGAGAGAGAGAGAGAGAGAGAGAGAGAGAGAGAGAGAGAGAGAGAGAGAGAGAGAGAGAGAGAGAGAGAGAGAGAGAGAGAGAGAGAGAGAGAGAGAGAGAGAGAGAGAGAGAGAGAGAGAGAGAGAGAATACCTCGTATGACCAAAAACTCCCAATAAGATTTGCTTTTGTTGCCAGGCAGTTTTTCTAGCATCGCCTGCCTGAACAATTAGGAGCTTGTGGAGCATAGGAGAGAACAGAGTGAGAAAAACAGCAAGAGACATCAAGGAAAAGATGAGATAAAGGAAGGGTGCGACATTACAGGGAGGTGTAGGAGTGACTGCGAAAAAGAGCTTAAAATAAACAGTGAATGTGGCAACAAAGGCACACACTCATAAATCTAAACCATAGTTATAGAGAAAATCAAACTAACAAGAAACAATAAAAAGTATATCATGGCTTAGTACTTTTTCTATGTATGATTCCCAATAAATCAAAAGTGCAGTCGTATTTAAATATAGCCATAGCTTGACTTATCTTCCTTTCACTATCTTAGACACAAAGCTGACAACTGACAAATTGGAAAAAAAAAATAAATAAAAATTGTATCACAACTTTCATGTTAACTTAAATGTCTAAACATATTACAACATACAGAATATTCAAACAATTGTGAACAAATGGCTTTCTAGATTTCGTGCATAGTCCAATTTTATGAAGAACCTCCTGAGAGGGCAAACATCTTCAACTTGAAGCCAAAGCCAGACTTATCAAATCTTTTGTTGTCATTCAAATAACATGAATGACTTTGGCAGTGTTGTGGTATTAGAATCTTCACATTTTCAAGGCTATATATAAGAAAGAATGGCTTCCATCTTTCAAAGTGCAATCCTAAAAAGATACTTCTTAAATAAAAATGGTTATCTTGTTGAGCATTTAAAATGAGTGTGCTTAGTTTGCTCAAGGCTTGAATTAATGGAGCACTGGATTAAAATGCTGTGACTTCTGACACTGACACATCCTTCATCCCTTACATACTTGTTCTCGACTTGAACTGTTCAGAATTACACAGTTGTTATCGCTTTTTCTTTTTTGAACTGTGTGAACTGTTAATTTTGTGAACTATTAAAAAATAAATAAATAAACAAATTAATAAATAAAAGCATCCCAACACCTTTACATAAATAGGGCAGTAGGGGGTGCCATCCTGCAGTGGGAGTGCTTCTTTGAAGAAACAACTGAAGCCATTTTCTCCAGTCCTTTTTCTTTGTGGGCCTCATCCATCCCTGACAAAAGCCTGGTGCTAGCTACTGTTGCACGCCCAGGGCACAACTGGTGTCTGGCCTCATTAAAAGATCAAGACAAATCTTAGCAACACTTAATAAATCTGCAGGGCAAAGATCTCTCTTTACTCCAGCATGCAAGTTCATCTGTTATGCTCTTTGGTCCGCTTTTAGAAGTCTGAAGAAAAAAAGAAGAACACAAAGACTGTGCCTGTGGAAGAGGAGGGAGAAGAAGAGTTTATTAGTGATCTGGACTCACCGGCCATCTGCTGGATCCCACTGAAGGCTCCAAGGTTTCCAGAAGATGTGGCCTGCTGAAGCAACTGTGCACCAGGCAGAGAGAGAGAGAGAGAGAGAGAGAGAGAGAGTGAGAGAGAGGGAGAGAGAGAGAGAGGATAGAGGGAGAGAGAGAGAGAGAGAGAGAGAGAGAGAGAGAGAGAGAGAGAGAGAGAGAGAGAGAGAGAGAGAGAGAGAGAGAGAGAGAGGAGAGAGAGAGAGAGAGAGAGAGAGAGAGGGAGAGAGAGGAGAGAGAGAGAGAGAGAGAGGAGAGAGAGAGAGAGAGAGAGAGAGAGAGGAGAGAGAGAGAGAGAGAGAGAGAGGGATAGAGGAGAGAGAGAGAGAGAGAGACATAGGTGGATACTCAGCACTGAATGCATGTTTGTACAAGGCTATGCACAGAAGCTAACATTGTAATGAGCAATTTAGCAATGCGCTTTTTGCATCAGCGCTCTATGAGTAAATGAGCTGCTAATACAGGCTGATCTCTCCTCTAAGCGAGCACTGTTTGTATTCTGTCATGATTCTCCAAGACAAGTTGAGCATGAAAGCTCTAATCTAGCCCACTAATTAGATTCCACAACAAAAGTGAAATACTGACGCTGTCAAATATGGGCTCTTCAAAGACTAAAATTAACCGCAAATTAACATCTTGTCATTACTGCATGGATCATTTTACTCCCAAGAATAGCCCTTATTTCTTTAGTTAGAGAATAAATGAGAGAGGTGATTAAAAGGTCTGACAAATCACAGTGCATTACCATTAGAGTGAGAGCAGCATTTGCACTTCGGACATGTTTTTTACAAGTTTGACTTAAAACCTTCAGTGATAAGATGCTGAAAAATAGATGAATAAATGAAATATAATTGAAGCTACAATTATTGTAGCACACTCTAACTCCTTGGTGTGGGGTTGTACTGCTGTAAGATGAGCTGATGTGGTGCTTGTTGGTGGGTGTACTCCTCTTACAGCCAGGTACTGTGGAGTGAGGCCCCCCAGGCCTGTAAGACTGCCCCAGGTGGTGGCACTGTTGAGCTGCTGCATCTGCTGTGCCAGCTGCTGCTGCAGACGCCGTTGCTCCTTGTCCTTCTGTGTGTCTGCAAACTTCACCACTATGGGAGATGAGCAGCCCTGTGAGGGGCCACAACCAAATGTTAATGAAACTAGGAGTACATTGGAAAATTACATTTACAGCTTAGCAAAATACAGTTATGAATGAGATGACAGAAATCTGTAAAACTGTAGAAGACGTGTTGCCTTTTTTGAAACTTGCAAACATTACTTGAGGGAGATTTGGAGGAGAAAATAGTATTCTAAATTAAAAGTGCCTTGCCTCACACACATGTGGCAGTGACACTGGGACTCTCACAGGAAGCACCAGTCTAAAGCCGAAGGGCTTTCTTCTCTACCCCACAAGGGCTTAGTTATCTCTCAGTCCAGAATGGTTTCAACTGAAACAGATTTCCTGAGTTCACCAACTATTTCATCATCTCATCAGAACAGATACTTTCTGTGTGTGTGAGCTGAGTGTGGTAAAGGAAGAGAGCATTTGGGATGACCCAAGGAAAGGTCGAGAGAGCAAGATGTAGAGATACAGACTATCACAAGAAGTGTGAATAATTGTGTCTATTTCAAGCCTCACCTGGGTGAATAGACTGTGTGCTTGTAAGTGTATTTATGAGTATGGTAAGTCTGCTGCAGGCATATTGGACATCCAACACAACAACTGTAACATGAAAGACGACATGAAGAACAATGGGGCCTGAGACAGTGTCTGTGTGGCAGCTTCTCAGTCTGTCACACCACACCATTACTCACACTCCACAATCAAAGCCTAACCAGAGGCAAATCCGTCTGAAACAAAGGCGATCTGCCACCATGGAATAAAAGCTTTTGAATGAAACATTTAGTTTGAAACACACCAGGCAACAGCGAAGTGGGAATGGATAACTGCACTAAGCTGCACAGGTACTGTAGTTAGAGGTGAATAGGAGAAAGGCATCATCTATGAGGAGCATAGGGCACCTGAGCTCTACTGTCAGAACTACCAGTCATTTTGAATTAAGTGAATTCAATCAGAGCCATTTAGCACACTTCCCAGCATGCACCATGTCAGAGCTCAAACCTGAGCGACTGCTTTCATCTGTTTTCAAGTCAATTTGATGAAAACTGTTGATTAATTTGCTTTTAACTGAAAGAACAATTATGATTTTCTTGAATCACCCATCATTCATTAGACATTCAAAATGTCAAGTGCAAAAGTTTGCTCAAGTTTGTCACAAGCACACTGGTTATCTAATTGCTAAGCCTCAACAAAATACAATTTAGGTTTCATATTGTTACTATTTAGTTAATCATTTGATATAACTATGGATGAAAATCATAATAGCACTGATCACCCCAAGTGCTTTATGTTTTAATTTTTAATGTACCTATCACTTAACAGCCACAGAACACTTGTGCGCAGTGAGGATGGGTTTAGATGAGCTTGTCTCCTCTCTGAGACAAGCTCTACCATATTAACTCTGCCTCCTCCCACACTCACTGTCCCTCCCTCTCTTTCTTCGGACTGCTGACAGATAAAGCAGAAGAGACCATGGAAGAATTGCATTTGGAGGCAGAGTGTCAGTCCAGGACCTTGCGTCTGCACTCGATTCCCCTTGAGACACCAGCTCCCAGTCCTTCTCTGCTAAATATCTCATTGCTCCTGCTGACATGCACCAAGTCGGAGGAAGCGTGTCCCAGAATGAAAAGCCTTCCCCTGGACTGTGGCGGAAGGTTTCCAGCTACAGGCCTCTGTAGCTGGGTCTCTCTGGGAAAAAGTCTTGAAACATAAAACCTTTATCAGGGCCAATGGTCTCATCATGGAATAGTGTATATTTCACCATTTGTCAGAATATATCACGAAAAAAAAACACACACACACATTAAACCAAATAGCCAGAGTGTCATAATGTTGTGTTGCATGTTTTTCTATCATAATTTCTACATAAATAATGATAATAATAAATCCATTCACCAGTAGCCACACAATGATACATTTACTGAAAAGATTAACAGTTTAAGTCTTTCTGTGCAGGCCACATTTAAGTCATTACTAATTTTACAAAGATGGAAGTGCAATGAGATTTAGTCATATTAACTACAGCCAGTTCGCTGTGAGCAATTATCTCATGGCTCTCATCATGTTTCACCACACTGAGGTCTATTTTGTCCTGTTAAAATAATTTGACAGGCTTGCTAATGTTTAGAGGTATTTGCCGCTGCCGGGAGCTCTGAAAAACCCTGCCAGTGGGTGAAATTACACCTCATGTTGTGTAAAAGTAAATTAGAAAAGCATCTGATTTGTTTTGAATTTGTCCCTCTTTAGAGACAAGATAGGCCAGTGTAATGATTTGGCAGGAATGTGTTACAGATTTGTTTTCATACAGTCCTTTCCATGCACATTTTAAATGGATTCATGAAAGCAGTTTTCTAGCAAACAAACAGTATTATGCATTCACCAGGTGAAGGGTGATGTCAAACTAAATAGCAGATCATAGGACACTTTAATGCAGACATTATATTGTACATTTTGGAGCCTGTCACAAAAATTATACTTGACTAAAGTACTTTTAATATTTTTGCTTATCATAATATTTTCTGTGGGAATTACCAAGCATTTGCCTCACCTGTACCTATCAAGAAGACACATTCCTGCTGATTCTTCCTCTGCTAAATCTCGGGCTGTGATTAATGCAGTGCTCACTGTTCAATGCCAGAGCTATGGTTTCCTTTTTTCATTTACCCTCAAGTACCCTCTCTTGTATTTACGGAGATTCATGCATGTTTATTCTCTTGTATTCAAGATGTCATGGCTCCAAAAATTATAATTTTCATCGACCCCCACATACATGAAAGATGTAGCAGCATGCATAGCCATTTTGGCTTAAATTTTTATTCTTTCAGTAGGCCATGTTGATCAATATTGCAGATTAAAATGTCCAAAATATACAATGTTGGATGTGATAGATTATACCTATATAGAGGACAAAAGCACAGTATGTCGTCTTCGAAATAACATGCAACTGATAGGTGAAGTACCTATCAGTTGCATGTTATTTCGAAGTCATGAATCAGTGATGTCCTGCCATGGCCCTTACACTGACTGACAAATACGGCAGCAGACAGGTGACATGTAGTTTCTAGATGATATAGCATCGTAATTAGCACCTTTAATAATTACAGTACAGGTAATTATGGCATGGGTAATGTGTACGCTGACGGAAAGTGCACCTCTGCATGAATCACCATCAAAAAGATGTTAAAAACTTTTGGTTCTTCCGACTCACTCAACCAAGAGTTGACTGAGTGAAAACGCACAAATGCAGAGCTGAAACACAACTCTCAGAGACAACCGTGAAGGGAACATTACACATCAGTTCCTTCACTAAAAAGCCTCACACACAAATGCTAGCACACACACAAACTTATACCTTGAAAATCAATCTCCCGTAGCTTTCAGGAGAGTTTCTGCTCTGTGACCCTGTTATCTCACTTGCTTAGCGCTTGCATAGCTTTAAATGTCAATGTGTGTCATCTCCCAGCACTAATTGGATGCTGAATGGCACAGTAGTTAAATGCATGAAATGTTTTTATTACAGATCTGTATGCCAAATCAATTGGGAACAGACAGTTACACAAAGGATTTGATTTACTTCCCCAACACTGACTTTTAACTCGCTTCTGCACATTCATAAGCACTTACTATTCATAGGAGGGAGACAAACTCAAAAGAATGCTCAAGCAAATATACTGTATACATAAAAATTCTTAGAAGTATGCATACTCATCCAAATTATTTATAATAGAACTACAGAAAAATTTAAATCAAATACTCAGCACAACAGACTGACCATGTTACACAATAAAAAGTACTAATGTATTAACACTACTGCTGCTATAGGCCACATAACCTTTTCATGTAAAATATGATGCATGCAAGATATGTATCCTTTGCATCAAGAAAAATGACAAAATCTGTTCTACTACACTTTATTACATGTGTTATCACTAATCGCTATCAGTATCTATTCACTGCACAAGTAAAGAAATACAACAATAATAAGCTGTAGATGATTTCTTCAACAAAATAATTCAAATCAATAGAACAAGTGCACTAACAATAAGCTTGCTCCTGTACAGTTGTATTAGAATATATATGTTTACATTTATATTGTATACTCCCTTTTTGAAAACTTTATGATTAATCTCCAGCTGACATGAGCTTGTTTGATATTATACCATCTCACGCTCCACTTATTCTTCTGCTCCAGTGGCACACTTGAGGCCGTGGTGCGTTCATGGTGCCTTGCTAATGTGCTTCAGCGTCAGGTGAGAAGCAAGGGGCGCTAAATGAGTCTTTAGACACAGTGAATAATACTCAGCACATATCAGCACAAATAAAACCCAATACAACATAACCAAACCAACCCATTCGCTTTGGGCTGTGTCTTTAGAGGCTTCACCGTGAATTACCTGTCGCGTTGATATCCACTTTCATTATGGTGTGACATTCAGGGGAGCATGTGTGTTTTTGCGTCCAGCGTGTGGCGTGTGTACCTGAATGTCACAGCGTAATGAGAATGGATATGACAGTGACAGGGCCATCAGTGAATAGAGCGCGGGGTCTGCCTCCTTTTCTCCCTCCTGACATGCGGTGCGGACGTGCTGCCATCCAACACACACACCACGCATACGCACAACCGCAATCTTGTTTTATCTGAGACAGTGGGGTGCAATAGAGCCAAGACAATAACCAAACTCTATTTACCAGACCTCATTCCCTCTTTCGGACCTGAAGTAATTACTTTTAAATTGCAAAACTGAGGAACATTAACAAACGGATGCGGCAATTTAGGTCTGCCCGGGGCTAGAAACAGCTTGTTTTCAAATGGAAATGAAGGTATTTTGCCATTGTCCGGTGCAATATTGCTGTGTTATGGTTTAAGTCTTTTTTTTTTCTAAATGCAGGATAAAAGCGAGGAGCACTGCTAGTGTTTACCAAGCCCATTGTGGCAGAACAGTGCTCAGAGCGAGGATAATTCTAGCATAATACTAACTCTGTCGGGGGAGAGTGTCACTTCCTCCAGTCAGGGGAGACACGCTGATGCTTCTGCTCCTACTGCCTGGTCAAAGTAATCTACTATTCCTTGGTATTAACAGAGGGGATGTAAACAGAGACTCTCTATGTGATCTGATTTGCTCTGAGTGGCTGAGGTTTAAGTTTTGTCTGCGTGTGCGTGTCTATGGCTTTCAAAATTATGACTTTTTATGACATTATGGGTTTAATACTTTGATATTCTGAATCATATGCACATTGCAAAAGTAAACTTCATTTTAATTAGGTCCATTTGTTTGCTTTGGCATTGTGTCAACAAGTCCACTTACTCATTACTTGCCCAATAAAGGTGATTCTAACAATAAAATAATTAAAATATATTCTTGTTGTAGGCCTAATATGAAATAAAAATAATTTAAAAATATGTAATAAATAGTCCACTGGTTCTTAAATGGTTCTGAAATAAAAGCCAGAATGATGTAACTGGACTATCATACACAAAGGAATAAGCCTATATATGCACAGACACACACACACACACACGCAGCACATTGTGGGAGGGGCTTCTGTTCTCCACATGCCAGAGCGCATCAATAGTGTCCCTGATTATCATGATCATCTCTAATGAGAGGGCTGCAAGGTGAACACCACTTGTCTTCTTCCCTTAACACAGCCTGCTATTACCATGTTTTTGTCTCTCACATAACTCTTCAGACTGGCATTTGTTGTACAGCGTGTAATTCTCTTTCTCAATCACAGGCCTGTCACCCCGGCCTGTCAAGAGCCCACCAATATTGACAAGAGTGCCCCAAAACGTGCCGTGCACAAAGAAGCCTGAGCTGCTTCCCCATTACCACAGTGCCAGGGTCGCTGTAGCTCTGATGAGGTCTGTAACACCACCTGCCCGTTCCAGCCTCTAGTGTCAAAGGTACTCCTCTCCTGTCACAGTTTTTAGGGAAGTTTGACAAACTTTATCCTATAAGAAATGATAGTCCGGGCAGTATAAGCATAGAAGAAAGAGTGGGAGACGTTCAACAAAGCAACATAATCTGTTCTTTTCTCAAGTCAAATCTTTTACCTACTCTGGCAACAGTAATGCTCCAAAGTTGGCAAGTTGAGAACCTATTTGGTTGAGTCAGATGAACTACCTACTATTAATAGCATTTCTTTCACAAATATCTGACCAGAATTATATTGTCAGCTAGTTATTGAAGAAACAGTTAATGAAAAAATGAAAGAAAAAACAGGATACACACTCGAAGGCTGTCTGGTGATCTGGTGCCACTTGACACAGAGAGAGAGTAAGGCAAGATCAGCTCATTATTTCTCTCACTTAGTTGCAAGTCTTTGAGGTTACAGTTGTTGCAGTGGATATTTTTTTAACTGTGATGATTGTGGCAATGTATTGACGCAAGTGTTTTTTTTTTTGTTTTTTTTTTATTTAATGAAGTTATTAAATTGTGCAAGGATGTTCCTTAGAAGAAAGTAGACACATGGAATAAAAGGAGAGATGGCAAACACGAGATTTGAAGGACAAGTATACTGTACCTCCATAGTCTGGGACTGGTGCATGGCTTTGATTGCATTCTGTGCCATAGCTCGTGTTGAAAACGTGACAAACGCACATCCTGTAATAGGGAGGGGTATGGAGGGACAGTGGAGAAGAGAGGGGGAAGGCAGAGGGGTGGGGGAAGGAGGAGGGGGAGACGAGAAAGAACAAAAACAAGACAAAAGGGTTGGACACATCTTTGTTATAAATAAAACTAAAACAACAAGTACAACAAAACAACCCCAAACAGATTGATACAGGACAACAGCATTGTCAGTTGTTGTAGAAACAACACAGTGTCATGACAACCACAATCCCATTTCAGGAAGTTGAACCTTGCCCACCCGTTAACAGTCATCACAGGACATACAGTATTACTAGGGATGGGACAATAAACAATAATATCGTTAACACAATTGATACTTCGGAGAGACCTGTCACTCTGGTAGTGTTCTACATGTGTCTCTTTGTGGAATGTTTAGTAGTTACCACGGTGACAAAATGCACACATTAGCAAACACTATCAAAAGAGTTTTAAGATTGTCTGAAAACAGAAAAATAATGGCTTGGAAATGGATTTAAGCAACAATTTTCAGGAGCCTGTAATCAATGTGACTGTTCATGGTAGGGGTGGGCGATTTATCGATATTTTAAATATATCGAACCTTTTCCACCATTTACAGACAAGAACATCAGCAGCACATCCTCATATTCCAACGAGTCGCGTCCTTTAGCCCGAAAGAAGCTAAACGAGCTGAGCTGCGTGAGAAGTGCGCTGTTTATGCAAATGAGCCATGCGCTTAAATTTCGTTTCTGTAAAATGTAAACGCACGTGCGCAAAACTGCATTAAACACATTATTAACGGGCTGATGTGGCTCTAGAGTCGTTATGCTTTATATATTGTAAAGTTTAGCAATGTAAAGTTTATTTATGCAGAATATTTAAATTAATAATCTGCTGCAGTGTCACTTGTACAATAGTGTTTGGAATCGTTGGGTTTGATCTGCAGTGGATTGTGAGATTAAACCTCAGAGCTCCTTACTGCTGGATAGAAACATGGATCTATTGAAATAAGGAACATCCTGAGCTTCTTCTGCTAAATGAGCTCATGGTTATGATTATGGTGTTGATAACAGTTAATGCAAAGATGAACTTGTGTTGAGTTGTTTTATTTATGAATGAAAAGAAGAAAATATGTATTATTTCTTTTATTTTACAGTTAAATTATTATTTATGTAATTAGGTTTTTTTGTAATCTTAAATGTTCTTAAATGTTAAACTGTCGACCTCTTACACTTCAATTTAAAAAAAGGACCTTGTGGAATTTGGCAGATTTGTTTTTGCAGTTTATAGTTTTAGGGGTTTATTTTTTCTTGAACATATATCGAGATGTATATCGTATATCGAGATATAGCAAAATATATCGAGATATATTTTTTGATCCATATCGCCCAGCCCTAGTTCATGGTCACATTTAGATGTCTTGTAACTGTAATTGTAAATGTGTGAGAGACTTGTTTAACAGCACAAATAATTTCACCTGTTGTAATTTCAGTCAGCTCTTCCTGGTCAGACTGAGTTAAAATAAAACTCAAATTAAACTCTAATAGAGCTTCTGACAGCGTAGTGCCTTTAGCATTACAGCCCCAGGGAATCTTGACGGCCTCAGCTGCAAAGTACCAATAATAAGGGTAGACCATAGATATTTCTGGTAAAATTTGTATAATTATCATATTCACCAACAAAAGTAATTGGCTTTATCTCACCAGATTCTACAGGGAAAAAAGATAGCCCCCCTTATGCATGATGTTCTCAAGACTGATATTTAAATTGTAATTGTTCTATGATTATTTATATATATATTTCTGATTATTTTTAGTTATTGTGATATTATTGTTAATTGTTAATCTCAAATATTTTTGCCATGATAACTGTTACTAAAAAATTCAATATCGTCCCATGCCTAAGTATAACACAATCAGTCTTAGCTGCCGGGATATTGGGATTATGCCTTCCTCAAAAGAATGTCCCTTTGCTCCATCACACTGGCAGAATTAGTTACACCTGAATTCAAATTTTCAATAATGCAACATTGTAAATCAGTTTGCAATTTGCATGAGAGCAATTTGAATGGGTTTTGGGCTGGTATTGTGCGACTGATTGGGTGCCCTCTTTTTTCTGCTTGAGAAAAAATGGCAGCCGAAGGGGGGCTGGGTGGAGACAAATATCTACAGGGGCTAGGGAAAATGGAAATCAGATAAAAAATAAAATTAAGTCGGACGGAAGAAGAATAGACACGCACTAGTCGGATTGGTTGCCCTCCTTTGACAATGATTTGAACCAATCAAGATGGTGGAGGTAGTTTTTATGGCGTGTTATGGGTTGTTGTTTGGGCGTGATGTAAGATTGCACGGCTGTTGAGGGAGTGATTAGAAGAGATAATGCGAGGAGTGCTTCAACAACCCCCTGGGCTAATAATATGCTAACAAACTCACCAAGCTACGTTAGAGCAGCCAGGCCTGAACCGATTAGACAAATGCTCACAGACACATGCAGCGTGTTCAGGTTTGGCTGGAAAAACGCTAGCTTCAGAAAGGCAATCTGAGGTTAGAGTCTGCCTGGCAATATGAACGGCAAGCATGCAGAGAGAAATATACCAAAATATATATCTTTATTGTTGTTATTTTAAATATTTAAATCTTCAATCAAATATTGTAAATTGTGCAGTTTATTTTAGTCGTGATGTTGGGGTATAAATTGGTTATGTGGAGTATATTTCTGGTGTGAGTTGTTGAATTCTTCCATCTAGATCAGTGACGTTGACCTAGTCCTAAACATTTGGGCTGGGATGCTTGCTCCTTTTATAGTCTTTCTCTGAAATAGGTCACTCTTTCATCTGATTGAAAGTACTGCCTTTTTTAGCTTTGCGACAATCTGTCATTTAACTGACTGCTTCACAAGGTTGTCCTGCTCCCCCCAGAACTAGATCATCTATGAAGTCTGCCTCCATTTGGGTTACCCTTCCAGCCAGAAACTATTTATAAAGCACACACCAATTGTGCTTCTAAACAAACTGTAGATTAAGTGAATATGTAAATGAATAAATACGTATAGCCGTTTAACACTCTGTGTTAATTTAAAACTAGCTTGTTGAATGCCTTATTTTTCAAGCGAGATGGGACAAGGTTTGAGTGCTAAAAATACCTCACAGGCCGCATTCTGTCGTCAGCGGAGAACCAAACAGTCCTTTAATGAAACTGGGGTAGCTCCCAAGGCCCAGCCATCCACTTGTGGTGCGATCCATATTTTATTAATAGCTGGATGGTAGAGCGCACTTCTGATTGATACCGTGAATTAAAAGCGGTCTGCAGTACATCTAGGTGGGACTCAGAGCCTGTGGGACTTATAGAAATCCTAAAAGACCTACTTATTGCGCGTTGTTTGTTTACTCGCCAAGACTGAACATGAAATTTCCCTATTGCTCGGTGGTTCTTCACAAGCTAAGATTTGGCCACTACATCTGAAATATTCATGAGGACAAAAGAGAAAAGTCAGAATGGGCTGGGAGAAGGGAGAAGGGGAGGATGTCTTGGAAAAAGAGGACAAATTGATGTGAGGGTGGATTCTAGGACATGCCAGTGTGAGGAGAAATAGGGCAACTCAGTTTTAAAAGCAGTAAAGGAGCATGGGAGTTTGAGTTTGCAGTCGTGTGGCACAAGCCTTTCTTCTACCTTGGAGAGAGAAAGGGAGAGAGACAGGAGATTTGCAACAACAAGACTAGATAAAGACAAATAAACATCTATAACGTGACAGCCACAGAAGAAGCAACATGACAGATCCACAACGACAGCCCATGCGACAGCCAGAGGAGCAGGAGCAGAATGGGCCAGAAGTTTGGGTTCAGAAGCCTTCCCTCCAGCTCCTCCACACATGGAAACCACAAGGGGGAGGGGCAGGGGCGGGGCAGCAGCAGGAGCAATGGAAGAAAATAAATTGGATGGGGCGGTGGTTTAGAAAGAGATGGGTATATTAAGGTGTCTCTGTCTTTTGCAGCTAGAATTTTAAAATAGCACAAATAGTTTATTATGTATTTATAAATTCATTGAAAACTCTTTGATTTCTTAAAATGGCCACCCTTGCTTTTATTTACAGCAGCAAAGCTTCCCTTAGAAGTGATAATGAGTAAGAGCGCACACTCTGTCTTACTATTTATCAGATTCATTATAGGCCATGGTTTGTTTTATAATGTGAGATTGTCAATCACTTCAAGGACACAAACATAATGCCATGTTCTTTTTAAACTTTCATTTAAAGAAATTTACGTTTTGCATCGCAGAGCTACAATTGAACTGCAGAGAAGATGCAAATGGGAGTTATAATGGTACAAGAAAGAAAGGCTGATGAAAGACAAGAGTAAGAGAAGGGAGGAAAAACAACAAAAAGAGAGGATATAGAGACAGCTAAAGGAGAATGTTCATAGAGCGGCCTCGAGAGGCACCACTGATTCATCTACATGTTAAAATTACTCTTTAAGAAGCTTTGACTAGCTCTGCAAGCCTGCATGCTAGCTAAAGCTAGTTAGCTAGCTAGCTAGTTCTTTTGAAGTCCAATATGAGTTACAATATCAGAAATATATGCCCATGCACCTATGGGGGGCATGTGGTGTAATGAATCAGTAGTGCAGCAGGTACTGGAGGCAGAGACATAATATTGTACATGAGGAGCCTAAGTGCAGATAGTAGATAATGGGGCGGCACACACCTCTACTCAGTCCGTCTGGGCCTCGGAGGATCCGGCACTCCTCGATCTGTCCGAACGCAGAGAACATGACCCGAATGTCGTTCTCATTGCACTTCTTTGACACCATTCCAATAAACAACTTCCTGTCTTCCACGGCTGAAGGAACAAGAACAAGCAGGATTGTAAAATACATTATAGCCTTTTATACCACTTTTAATATGTTGCATGTTGAAGTGAAGATATTTATAGTCAGATTACTTTGAAGGAAGACTTAATTGCACAGGACAAATTACCCTACGGGAAAAATAAATTGTTCCTTATATAACTGTTCAAATGCTAAACAAAAATGTAGTTCGATTGCCTTTAGGCCTGTCACGATAACACATTTTGAAGCATAATATATTGCTACAAGAGAAATATAATCAGCGATAATATTGAAACTGCCACTGAAAAAGCAGGTTAATCCCAGTAAACCCAGTAAAACAATTTTTAGACAGACAATATCATTAAACGGCCTGAGATGCAACAAATAAAAAGCAGAATGACACAATAATTAGCCATAAAAGGTATTTATTCAAGCCTTTACAGCTCAAATCTTATCGTATGACACAACAAAAATACCCATTATTGCGAAGTACTAACATATGAGCCCAAAAATATATTGTTCAAGCTTTCGTATACTGAACTGTAAATTGATACAGTAAAACTGTTAGAAGGTTAAGCGGTACAGTGCAGTAAAAAGTCTGTAGATTGTGATGTACGTATGAGTATGAGCCATGGAAAAGCTGCCACAGATGCGGAGAGATTTTGATATCCAGAAACATTTTTGGACATTTTATATGCCTCTTCATGAAACTCAGACGAAACACAGATGAATGTCATGGTATAAGTTGTTTCCTCACAGATCCGATGGGAGAAACGTGTCAGCAAAAGGTTCAAATGCTTCAAATTGTAGTCCTCCCCAATAACTCAAGGTCAGGGCTAAGCAGCATTGCATATTTAGTGTGAAGGCCATAAAATATAATTGGCAGAAGAACACGTTTGAGACATGAACAAAAAGAAAAGTAAAAACCTTCACCTATGAAAATGGGTGATGATGGGTGAAAAACACAATTGTAAATGAGAGAGAAGTGGAAGAATAACCCAAGTGGTGCGGAGTGAATGAGACAGACAGAGCTCATGTATTTCATCATGCCATCTGTGAGCTGTGATCAATGTCTCATTATCACTTCAACGCCACAGTGCAGGGAGACTGTGCAGCTTGTCCTCTCTCACACGTCTGTCCTCCCTGTTTGTGTGTTCCTCTGACAAAATCCAGCCGGCCTCCAGTGCAATCTCTAGGAAAGCACTCTGATTAGCGTTGAGAAGAGAGGTGCGAGCTATATCATATATATATATATATATATATATATATTATTTTTTTTTTTTTTGGAGATATGCAAAATTTGAATATCAATATCTTATTTATCTTCTATAATTAAACTGTGACACAAGCATATAGTGCAGTCTCACAAAGTAATATTTAAGACCTTTTAATGGTTACATTTACTATCCATTCTAGCAATGTAATAATGAATTTTAATGCTATGATTATTGTGAGAATAAACATCACAGTTTAGTAGACTGCAAACAATATGGCCAAACTGCAGTTAAAATCCTTAATTTTCTTTCATTATTCTTCTTCTATAAACCAGCTTTATGAAATCAAACTTTCTAAATGCTTAAGTGAAATCAATGTGGAGAACATTTTTGGAGATCTGAAGATACTTACATTGGATTCTAAAATTGTCATGATAATATTTTTGTTGTTGTTACGATTATAATGTGACCTGAGTAATCAGTTTACTATAATAATCAATACCTGAATAATCTAGTGAATTTATGATTTGTGCTAGGTTTGAACCTAAACCAGAACAATTACAATCACATTTTAGCACATTCCTGATTAAATATCCTCTGATTATCATTACCAAAAAAATGCAAAAAAAGAGAAAAAAAAAAAGGATGTTTATTTTGTTAATCTGGCCACCCTCTACTTGAGAAATGTGTGTACTGCATGTTTCTAAAGTACTCACGGAGAAATCCTTACCCCAAACAATAATGGTGCGTTTATAAGTTCCCACTGCATTCAATGTAATGCTAATCCAATTCAAGTTTAATGAGGAAACTGACAGTTCTCACCGCGAGGCGAAAGAGATAAGCGGTCTGTTGCACTCTGGGAAATCAATAGCACACTTGTTTATTTTGCCGTTTGAACTGTTTGTGTATTTAAAAAGCACACACACAACCACTGGGATACACTGCCAAGATAAGTGTACTTGGGAAAGGGGCTCTAACTCCTTTGTACATAGCGTGTATGTGTGAGTGTGCACATCACTCCAGAGGAAGATTACCACAAGTCTAACAGCAGTGTAATTAATTTACTTAGCGTTGATAGGAAAGGAGAGAAAGAGCAGATATGGTTACAATTGACTGTGTTTGTGTTTTTAGGAGGAACGGCGCAGGCAGGCGTGTGGGTGATAAGACTCATGAAGCTGGCTGTGGGATGATCTGGAGTCAGCTTTGCATTCTGGGAAAAATGGAGCGAAATTGACTTCATGCTGAGTTTTAGCACATTAGAAGACAACTAAAAAGAAAAAGACATTTGCCAATATAGTTATTTGGAGTTAAACTGTACATCTTCCACTTCGTGTCTCTGTCTTTCATATGCTCTACAGACTAAACTAATAAAGCTATGAGCGACCATCCCTCATTGTTACAGCTGCTCTAATGCGGAGTATATTAAAGGTCATTACCATTAAGTGGATAGATATGTTACGTATGGTCTTCGCTATATTTCACAATTCTCGCGGCAGGCAGAAGCTGCTTTATTAAGTTCGAGCATCGTTACCTCCGTAGTAAGGTCTTATAAACCCGTATTTCACAGCTTTTTACTGGGGCAAAGATTGGTTTTTATAAAGCTGACTCCCATGGCTGAGTGAATATGACTATACTTTAACAGTGGACACTGTAACAGCATTTGGCTTGAAGTCTTCGAGCACATTTGAGTAAAGATGAAAAAGATATTTTCAAACTATAATAATGTCTATCTGTCCAGGAGAAGAATAAATAAGAACAAAAAAATCTGAGTCATTACAGCCGTCGACAAAACATCGCTGCATTTTACTTTTTAAACTTTTAAACTCATTTTGGTGAATGGTATTTAAGGGAAATTGCTTCAATGAAAAACAGAGCACAAAACCAGTGGTATTATTGTTTAAATGTTGTAAAATGAATTATTAAAATAATAAAAATTTCAACAGAGGGTTGTCTTATGTATTGTGATTAATATTCTAATCTGTTGAGTGAGGAAAGCAGATACTACTTCACTCGTTACACTGGAACTGAAGCCACAGGGCTGAAATTTGGGTTCATTTACTTTTTTTTGTAATCTTTGCTCTTTTTTTTCTCTTTACATAAGTAACATTTTAATTTGCAAACTAATGTTAAGTTAGCATATCTGTATAAGCAGAATGGATAATGTTATCATGTAAAAGTGACCTGGGGACACAAATAAGAGACTACACTAAATGTATTTGTGTGTAAGCCCATATACATTAAACCATGATACGCATGTGTACATACAGCCTGTTTATATTAAATGAGCTGCCACTGGGAATCCAGGCAGGGTTCACTATAAGGGCAAACGATTCAACTGGCTCTGACCCTCTTCTCAAGCACTTTAATAATTCATAATATATAAAAAATATATCTCAGCATTTCCCCCATACAGTCATGCTTTTTTAGTCTCATTCAATTCCTTGGCCTGGTCCCTAGGTGCCTTTGCTCATGCAGCAATCAAACATACATACAGATACTGTAGCCATCTATTACCAAGCCAATTCAGAAATACTATGGAGATAGGTGTGTTTGGAAGGTACTTACCATTCGACTTCTCACTGTCTGCAGGTTTCATTTGAATAGGGTGGTGCATCTGAAAGAGAAGAAGAGAAAGCAGAAAATGAACATATGCAAGATGGATAACTCAAATACTGTCCACAATGAACTATGAAATTAAGTCTTATCAGTTGCAATATACCTTGCAATGTGGACACAATAATATTAAGAAGATAAGACCAATACAGTTTTAAATTTTCATTACGTTCAGGCATTTTATTGAGGTGAAAATGTTGGAGTAATAAATGCATAAAATTCTCATCAACATAGTAAATAGCGCTGCAACAGAAAATATTTTTTGCAGTGGATTCCTCAAAATGTATTTGATCACAAATAATTATTAATCAAACAATTATTTTGACACTTATGATTATTTTTAGTAAGGGGCTAGATACGATTATTAGTATTGACTGTTGCAGCCCTAATGGCAAACATTTCCTATTTATTCCCATGATTTTGATGATTTCTTGGAGACCTTTTTAAAAAAAATAAGTTAATTACACTTGACAACTAGGAAGTGCACGTCACCTGTGTATGTCTCAAACTTTCTCCCCTGTCCCCATTAAATCTTTTGCTCTCTTTTTCCTTTATGGGAGATTATGTGGCTGTTTGATCTGCACATTGAATGACAGTGATTCTCCAAATCTAACCCAGTATCAATCACACTCCGAGTCAAATAGCAGGCGGCAGCATGTGTCCGTGTGAGTGTGGATGTGCCCCATCTTACCCATAATGCCCCTGGGCTCAGTCACGCTGTGACAGAAGGCTTTGATCTCCCAATTCTATCACACCTTTATCCCAACCCTCTCCCTCTTGCACTGGTTCTTATCATCCAGACTCCCTGAGACTGGTCCCAGACAGACACACACGCTCTGTCTGAGGTGCACTTCTGTGAGTGACCTGAAGGGGGCAGTACATGGTGGAGAGTAGATTCTCATTTTTGATTTCTTAAACTTTTCTGCTGAAAAAAGTTTTTTTTTTCTTCTTAATTTGTATAGTATTTTAATAAAGTTTTAAACCAGATACTGACAGTAGTTAATTGCCTATTGTTTTTCTCTGTTAACAGTAATCCTCTGCTCTACACACAATGATATCGCAAATAACATAACATTGAGTGCACATAAATTACAAGAAAACATCACATTTCACTCTACTAGATCACATCAGTGCCCAGACCTCCTCTTAATACATTTTAAAGGTTTCCTTTTTTAGGTTCTTGCTCTGATCATTTGCATGCTTTATGGTTTAACTCACTTTAATTATCATATGTAATTTTCTTTATGATTAAATATAAATGCCATAGAATCAAATATACAGAAAAGGTACTGGAATCAGGCATTATTCATGCACAAAACTGACGGTGAACAAAAAAAAACAAAAAACAGAAAATAATAAGAGGAGTAATCAAGGGTAGGCAAGGATAGGTAGCCTGTGGGCTTGTGTCTTGTTAGTGTCACCAACACAAGGACAGATGCTGGGGCATGGAGGTGTGTGTGAGGCTACAGCCACATCAAAAAACAAAGTCATGTCAAAGCAAAACCTGGAAGTCCCATCAAGTCACTTCTTGCTAATCCATTTCAAAGGCTGTCCTGCTAAAGCAAAGGCAAAATAAAACCTAAACAAAAGCCCTGACAGCATTTAGAGCATCGCTGCCACTCACTCTAGAAAAAAGCTGGTGAGTAGAGCACAAGCATCTCTCACTCACGCACGCACGCGCACACACACACACACACACACACACACACACACACACACACACACACACACACACACACACACACACACACACACACACACACACACACACACACACACACACAGCACAGCAGCTTCTTCCACAGGTACAAAACCCCAGTCTACTTTAGAGGCGTCTCACCTCAGGTCTGTCTGCCCCTCCACCCCGCAGGCTCCGGCTCTGTCGACATGTTTGATCTGAGTAAGCCCCTGCCGAGACCCACAAAGCAAGACTCTCCTTTTGCTATCCCACAATTCCACTGTGGCGTTTCTTTTTGCCTGGCAGGCCCACAGCCACATTCTGCCATTCATTATGCACTCAGCAGGACCCCGACAAAACTACTAAGTCCTCGCCGCGCTCAGCCTCGTAAAAAGCACAAAGAGTAAAAAACGTCAGAGCGCAGACCCATGTGTGCAGCAGGAGGATGCTGTGTTGGCATTTACCCCCACACATGTATCTGAACACAGCAACTAAATACACATGGGTGACAATTACTGAACAAAAAAAACAACAACCAAAAAACAAGGTTTTCTTAGGCCACAGGGCTGCAAGACTGTACTATCCTACAAGCCCCTGACCTGTCTGTGCCCAGTCTTCTTGAAGTACATGCAATATTTTTGGTTAAATTATGTTTTATAAGTGTTGCTACATATTTGTTCTTACTTGTCTGTGATGGTGAATTAAATCTGTCACAAGTCTGATCACGTTTCTCTTCAGTCTTTATTTCACAGTGACATCTGTTTTATGAACATATTGAGTTTATGCACTATATTCCCTGATGTCTTCATAAATAAATGTTATTAGAATCTCTTTTTTGTCCATTAAGTTGTTATACTATCACACAAGTATTTATAACTGACTTACATAAATATGTTTTAGTGTGCTGAATGATACACTGATAAACTATAGGCCGGCAAAAGCAAAACCTACTTTGTAATTGCTATGATTCAATCCAAGCTGTATGCCAAAATCATCACCTCTGTGATAAATGTATAATAATTGAAAATGTTATGTTTGTCAAATGTATAAATATTGTAAATATGACAGGACATTTAAAAATGGTATACAAAGAATTGCAGGACCACATTTTGTCATTGTTTAATTGCCATTGTCCTTGTCCACTTAATTTTCCTGTCTGTCCCTATAAGTAATTTCGGCTCTGCTTGTGCTCCTCCAAGAAATATTAATTTTCCGATCCCAGTAATTGAAGAGGTCCTTATGAGCCACAGGGAGCTACTTGATAAAAAAGCATCAACAAATTATTGGGCAAATATGGAAAATAAAGTGTTCTTTAGCAGGCTGCTATACAATTACAAAAACAAAATGTAAATGATGGATGCCTGATGATTATTTTCTAAGTTGGATGCGACCTGAAGTAGGCTTATTATGTGCTTGTTATCCAAACACTTGAAAATAAAGTGTGACAATTTGTTTTTAATCATATTTGGAGTACATGAATCGCCATATTACAAACTGCGCAGACTGAAAAAAGTCCTGCTCCTCTGTAAAATACATGATAAATGCACACCTCTGAAAAAAAACAATTAACTTTTCATTTACATATTAAAGCTGCATGCCAGGAAAAAAAAGTCTAGTTGCCGCTGTGTCTTTATCTATCCATTATTGTCTGAAGCTTTAAAAGGAGCCTAGGTGAGGAGCAGTTTTGAGGTTATCCTAATTTATCTGCATTTCTTCTAGCAATACTTAGACAAGTTATTCACACATGTATTTCATTGCCCAGCAGGTAAACAGGCTCTAATTATTTATCATTTCATCCACCCTTTATTCCTTGGCATTATTGTTGACAGTGTGCCTCAGATAGACAAATAGAAACCTCAGAAAGAGGCACTTAAGTGCAACACGTATTCTCAAGTATAGATGCAATGTCTCTGTATTACACCAATAACTAGTTTAACTTCTTTAAAGTAAGAAAACTAGTGAGTCAGTATTCACCAAATATTTTACCAACTGACCAAATATTAAAGTATTTTTATTTCTAGAAATACAGAATCAAGAGTGAAAGTGTGTTTTTCAGCAACTGTAAGCACTATGTCAGACCATTGAGAGGTACAGCAGACAGTTAGTCCCCTCTGTGTCGCTGAGCAAACCAAAGCTCACAAAACGTCACCCAGTGGCCCCTTTTCCTCTCCTCCTCATATCCTCCAGCTCATATAAAGAAAGCCAGCCTGGCGACCCGGCTGGTATTCAGGCACTCTATGTGCTAAGGCTCCACTCCTCACCTACTGCCCATTAAACACTCCCTCCTGGTACACACAGCTCAGGAAATCCTACACGTCCCAAATGTTAACGGCTGCTCCTGGGTTAACATTATACCCCAGCAGCTCCCCTCACATGCCGAGGTCTGCTGGGACTGCCCCGCTGCTCAAAAGGTCAAAGGTCCACTTGTCCCAGAGCCAGAGAACTCAGCTAATTCAATGGAGAAGAGTCTGTATTGTGATGCTATAATCCCTCAGAAATACTTGAATACTTTTATTTTGCTGCCTATATTTTAAGCATAGCTTTGCAATTGTTATTATAATTATGTTGTAGAAACATAATCATAAAATTAACATTACCATGATAAATATCATACCGGCTTATTGTTCAATAAATGACAGCTGGAACTATGGAACCTTTATTGTTATTGTGTCAGTTTCCTAAAATAGTAAGGTAAGGTTACTTTATTGATCCCTCGTGAGGGAAATTCATTCTCTGCTTTTCACCCATACTTCAACCAGTGCCACTGGGGCAACCTGTCAGAAGCAGTGAGCTGCTGCTGTACAGCACTCAGGGACCCATCTCCATGATCTTGAGCTTGACTTGGTCAGGACCACCTCAGCAGGAGGATTTTTACCTATGGTGCATATTTTGGATTGATAAGCAAAACCCATCCAGACTCACAGAAAGGTCCGGGCGACATGGGAATCACACCCAGAACATTCTTGCTGTAACGTGTGAGTGCTACACATTCAGCTACCTTTAAATATAATAGCAATATTTTTCTGATGCAATATATCATGCTTAACACTTTATTTTATTGTGACAGGTCTATACACCATTGTCTTTCCAAAATCTCAGCCAGAGTGATGCAGAATTGTGTGAATGTGTGTGTGTATTTGTGTGTTGTCTTTGGCAGCAGTTGGCATCTTGAAGGAGCCAAAGACACATGAGCAGGGCCTGTGCCAAAAAACAGGGGAGTGTGGACGCTGTCTGCTGTCTCGTGTCTGGACTCCTCCTTCCTGTCTCGAGGTGTGACGGTGAGCTACTGGGTCAAAGTCAGACAGATGGCCTCACAGTCGAAA